GGGGCCTCACTTAACGGCTATAATCCATTCCAGGAAAATCGCCATTAAGCGAAAACATTGTAAAGGAAAAAAAAAAAAAATGGAAACGCATTGAAACCCCTTCAATTCATTCCAATGGGGTCAAAACTCACCGGCCAGCGAAGATACTCCATATGGCAGCCGTTTTCACTACCTGTCTTGTGAGGAATCCGTCCCAGAAAACAATGGGGAGCCATTTTGTTTACCCGGTGGCCATTTTGAAACTGCCAATCAGCTGTTTTAAAATCATCATTTTGCGAAGAATCGGTTCCCGAAGCAGGGAACCGATCATCGCAAAGCGAAATTCCCCCATAGGAAACATCGTAAAGCAATCGCAAAAGCGATCGAAAAAAGTTTGTCGTAATGCGGTTTCATCGTTAAACAGAGTGATTGTAAAGCGAGGCACCACTGTCTTTTTGAGGCAAGAACTGCACTGTAACCTTTGGAGAGGAATGAAATTTGAAGGATAGCTCTACTCTTACCTGCGCAGAAGGTGCAGATAAGTTGGTTTGCTTTGAAATGCAGACCAAATAAGATCTTTCAGCATCCCTGTTAACTGCCGAACCAGCTCAGAGACACCTTCTGCTGTCTTAGGATCATCACACAATGTCTTAGGAATGGCTCCTCTGCCCCCTTTTGACTGAGAGGTGCCATTTTGTATTGATTTTCCGAAGTATCAGGCTTCTTGTTGGTAAAAACAATTATGCTCTTTGTACACTTTCTACCTTTGCCCTCTCTTAGCCGTTCTAGTTTGGTTTGAGAAAATAGTACTTCTCTATGCACTGGAAAAACAGAAAAGCAAGAGATTGTTCCCCCCACACATACACCTTGGGGCAATAAAGCCTTTTCTTCTACCTCATGACCACTTCCTTCCTGCCTAAGCCAGATCTTAGTTCTACTGAGGGCTTCTTTCGACATCAGCCACGTGCACTGTTTACACGTGACAACTTACATGTGATATCTCTGTGTTTTCCTGCGTGGCTGCCTCGCCACAAAGGCAGCTGAACCACATGTCACCTTATTGACTTCTCTCTCTCTCTTTCTGTACTCCTGTGTTCTCTGTTGTTTGCAAGGGCAGTAAAAAACCTCGCTTGTAAAAACCCAGAAGATTCTTCTTGCACTTTGAAGATTGATCCATTCCATTTGGTATCATATTTTTTATGGGCCGGGGGCTAAATGTGTTTCAGAAATGTTTCACAAATGTTTTTGCTGCAACGGGCAAACGTGGCTACCTCCTTGGAAAACTAGATATATTTCTAAGGAATGAGCCAATATCTCACAGAAGAGTGTGTTAGCTTCCTTGGCTGAAAGAGACCGGAGGACTGTGCTGTCCAGGGTGATGTCACAGACAACATGTTGCATGACGATGTGGGGAGGTACCAGTTCTAAACCGTAGAACTGCTTGGACTTTGAACCGTAGAACACCTTGAACTTATCGCTGCTTCTCAACTAGAGATGGGCACGAATCTTGGTTTGGAGGTTCGTGCCTGTTCATATGTTCAGCACCATAGATGCCATGCGCTCCTTTTCCCCACCTCCCTGGCTGGATCCTCCACTCACCAGCTGGCGCATGCTCTTTTCTCTTTGACAGTTCAGCCAGTCTCCAGCAGGAGCGCAGGCTTCCTTGCCCCGCCTCCTTGGAGGATCGCCCACTCAGACGAGGAGGCGGGGCAGACAACCTCCTGCTCCTGCCAGGGATTGGTTCAACAGCCGAAGAGGAGGAGTTGAAGAGCGAGCTCTGACTGGTGAGTGGGTCATTGGCCGGAGAGGCGGGGGAAGGAAGCGTGTAGCACGAACGTCCAAACCAAGGTTCATGCCCATCTTTATACTCAACGTAACCTACCCCACAGGGTTGTCGAGGAGGAAATCGGGGAAGGTCAGAACTATGTCCGTGTTGAGCTCAAGGGAGGATAGAAATGAAACTAATCTTAAATGGGCCTTGCACACAATGGTCATCCCATGTTGCTGTCTAAGATAGTAGACAAAGGGTGGGTGGGAGTCGTGTTTGTCCTCTAAATATAAGAGTTCCCACTTGAACAATTCCTCACAATGCATTACTTCCATCAGCGTTTTCTAACTGGTCTTCCATCTTTTCGCAGCTGCTGCGGGTCCCCATTCCAACCAGCGTCCAATTTGAACTGGGTAAGAGCCAACATTAATATTTTTGTAGGTATGTGTGTGTGAGAGAGAGGAGAAGAGCCAGGAAACATTAATTTTCAGCTAGCGTGAGTAACTGCAGCTGGGGAAAATGTAGTCTAAAATGTAACTTTTCCAAACTCTACTATAAATTGATGAGGAAAAAAGCATTGAGTCTTCTGCATCAATGAATTTTTGCAATCAATGTATGCCAGTTCAGTACTTTAAAAAACCTGTTTTTTGCTTATACGATGCCTGGGTAGATGCTTTTAAACATGTTAGACCTTAAGGTGACAGAAATTCCAGATTATATGTATTCTGAAGTCCCACACGAGTGCAGAAAGAGCCTCAGGATCTGGATATTCACTGCAGAAGTCACGTCCTGTTGTTTGGGTTCACAGAGCATGCTTCTAGCTCTTAGGGCTGAAGAAAGTGTGTGAGCACTTTGGTAAAAAATATTGACGTAGGCTAAGGCATAGAAGTGGGGTTTGTTATTTATTTATTACAGTTATTGATGTTCTGCCTTTCAGGTTAAAATATCCTTCCAAGTAAGCTTGCAAGTAAGGTTTAAAAATGCATTAAGGAAACCCCCTATAAACAATAGTAAAAATAACTGATAGAGCAGCTGGTTGGAAGACGGCTCTTTGGTGGAAAAAGGGTCCCCAGAGAGCTCTTTCGTGATCAAAGGACATCACTTAGAAATTTCTTTTTCTGAGATACTGTTCCTTGAGTACTTGTTCTGTCATGGCCATATAGCTGTCCCGGGCTTTTGCTGCAACTGTATGGGCCACACCCAGCTGGTGAAACTGTCTGAAAGTCAGGAAGTTGAAGAGAGACGGGACGGCCTCCTGCCACGGCACAGCCAACAGATTAGCTCATCTGCAGTAGCAACCCATCCGATGTCTTGTGTGTCTCCCTGCAAGGGCAGGCGTGGCTTGTGGCCCGGCCGCATCCTACCATCTAGTGGCTGAGCCTGATGTTGCAAATGACTGCGTGGCCAAGCTGCCTGCTCTCTCCGTTTCCCCCACCCCAGTGACTGCTAGTTTTCTTCTCAACTTTCTGAAGGAGGTGGTGGTTGGATGTAGGATGTGATATATGCTCTGCATGTAGTGCATACATCAAATTTGCAAGGGGGAGGCACTCTGGAGAGCCCTGTACTTTATAGAGTTTTATGATAGGGAACCATTCCCCACCACCACCCATTAAACACTAGGGAGAGGGCTGGCTCTAATTGTTTTCTTCCTGTTAAAGAGAGAGAGAAAAGAATGGGTTAACACACACACACACACACACACACACACAGAGAGAGAGAGAGAGAGAGAGAGAGAGAGAGGGTGGAGAGAAAGTGTGTGTACGTTTCTTGGTTTAGAAATAGCTTAAAAAGAAAACCACACCTTCCTGAGAGCTCTTTACTCTGAGGTTAATAATAAAATATTGCTGTCCATGGAACTCAAGTCTCTAGTCCACTGGGCAGAGCTGTGAGGCCCCGCCCCCTGATAGAACAGAATCCAGGCGAATTCCCTGTTGTCCCCAACACAAAGGACTCTGCACGTTGCTTTTGTCTCTTATCCTCACAAAGATTTAATAACTTCACAAAAGACCATGCTGGCGAAGGTGCTGGAAGTTCTTATGTATTGTCACAAAAGATAGAAGACTAAAAATCCCTCTGCATATTGATCATTGCTTGATACCTTCTTGGGAAAGAGAACAAAGGGGTAGGAGCTGTTCTGAGCCACTTCTAAGTTTGGAGCAGCTCAGTATAAACAAACATATATACCACCCCAGAGATGGCTGCATCGTTTAGCGATGTACTCGGACGGCTTGGTCGGTTCCAGAGGCTGTTTCCTTTGTGGCGGTGAGCCAGTGAAAGTGGCGTCCAAGCAGCTGCCGACGGTTTTGCCTCGATGCTGCTGCGTTTGCACAAATTCGCGGAGGAGATACGTCCCTTTGGAGCAGCCTCCCGACAGTTACTTCGGTCGGTCCTGCCGGCTGCTTCGTTGTGTTTATCTGGCCGGCCGGTTGCCAAGCCAGCTGGGGTGGAGGAAGGTTTGTCCTGAGAGTTTGTGCCTTTCTTTCATTGTTGTTTTTTTGCTTGCGTACAAATATAGCAGCAAGAATTCCCCTCTGGACTTTAAAGACACAAACCATGAAAGGAAGTACAGAAAAAAATGTGGGTTTGGGAAAATTTCTAGGACACCCTCGTGGTAGGGCTGTGCAGATGCTAAGCAGCTGAAGGAAATCTTGAGTGAAGGGTGGGGGAGGTTAAAATTTGCAGAGTCCAATCTTCCCACTTGTTGAACGGTGAAGATCTTGAGTGTTTAATCAGACAGAATTTCTGGGATCTCGTTTTAAAAAAGCACTTTGGCAGTTCTCATGATTTCTTTTAGCCTTCGGTTACAAGACACCCACCCTTTCACATCTGTCTTATTTCTAATAACAAAACAAAACCCAATTAACATTGCTTTTTCTCTTTTTGGTTGAAATTCTGGCTGTGTGCAAGAGGCATACAACATGTATATTCATTTCACTTGATGAGTTGGTGTAGCATTAATGGCTGAGAGACTGGGCTGTAGGAGAGGAAGATCTACCCAAATTTTCCTCTTAAGGCAAGTTAAAATTGTACCTTAGGCTTCCCAAAAATGGAAACAGTAATATTGTTGAGTCATAATCAGTTGCTCTACAAAATGGAAGCAGTAATATTGTTGAGTCATAATCAGTTGCGGTGAAAGCAGTTCCACAAAAGTACACGGAGCGTGTTGAACCCTATTTTACTGTCCTATACGAGTACTGAGTTGTTATTATATAATAACGGAAACCAAATTTCTAGTTGTCCTGAAAGCTCAGTTCTTCTCTTTTCCTAGCAGCAGCTTTCCATATTTTTTTAATTCGTACTGAAACCAAATTCTCTACAAATGGTTGCTTTCCCGTAGCATGCAGCTTGCACCAACAGATTTTTACAGCTTGCATTCATAATTGCCGCATCTGGAATAACCCATGTCTGGACAGAAATCTTTAATGTCTTAGGTTTTAGGGATAATTATCTTGCCACGCAGAGAGTGCTTTCTAGATGTAAAATAAAGCTTTTCTTTCTTCAGTCCTAAAGTCGCCTGTAACGTCATGTCTGGTTCTGCATCAGACCTCAGGTAATAACGATCTCTCCCTTCTTCATTGCAGACCGAAACCGGCCAGAACTTCTTTCAGATGATCAGCAACGGAAATACTTGCAGGAAATCCAGGCTTTCCAAGAACCTGAGATTGCTCGGCAGCTGGAGGATTTCAGGTCAGTGGTTGAGGTCTCTAGCAGGAGAGACAGAGGTTGGGAGTTCGATCCCTCCACTGGGCCTCTTTGAGAAGAGTAACATTCAGTGCCACTACTCATGATAGTGTGGAGGTAAAGCTCCAGATTCTAGAAAGACATGCCCACAATAATCCAAGTGGAGAGGTTAATGTTTTAAGACAGCAACAGTATTTCCCATCTCTGATGCATTTTGGCGCTCCTGCTTAGTTCTAGCCATACATTTGTGATGGGAGAAGGTATCAGCGTGGCCTTTTTTTGTTTCCCATAGGGAAAAAAGGAAGATGGGAATGACGCCGGGCGAGGCAGAGCTTATAGAGCTGGAAGGCTATCGGACGAAGGACAGGGGCATCCGTGAAGCCAAGGAGAAGCAGCTGGCTGAGCTGCTGCTTGTCAAGCTGGAGGAGATGCAGTGAGTCAACACCTTCTGGATTTCTCATCTAAGCCTGCTCTGTGAACCTTTGTGCATGCATGCACACACACAACACACACACGTTTGCTACTAGTATTGGAAAAACAAAAACAAATAATGAAACGTGCTACTGCAACAAGAAACAAACCAAGTACAGTGTCCCCCGCTTTACGATTACCCCGTTTAACGACGAATCCGCTTGACAGTGAGGTTTTTGCGATTGCTTTTGCGATCGCAAAACAATGATTCCAATGGGGTTTTTTTGTTTAACGATGATCGGTTCCCTGCTTCGGGAACCGATTTTCACTTGACGATGATCAAAAACAGCTGATCGTCGGGTTTCAAAACGGCCGCCGGCTGAAGAAAATGGCCCCCCGCTGTGCTTAGGGACAGATTCCTCACGGCACAGACATGGAAAATGTCTGCCCCTATGGAGGATCTTCGCTGGACAGTGAGTTTTCAGCCCATTGGAACGCATTGAATAGTTTTCAATGCATTTCAATGGGCTTTTTAATTTCACTTTACGACGTTTTCGCTCTACAGCGATTTCGCTGGAACAAATTAACGTCGTTAAGCGAGGCACCACTGTAGCACACAAGGAATCCTTTCATACACAAAGCTGGCCAGTTCCGAGGTACATTGGTCTATTGCTGGGTTGAGGTGTGGCAGAACAGATCTCCCTGCCCCTTCTGTATTAATATTTGTCTTGGCCAAGAAGCGTGCTGCTTATAAGGGATGCTAGAACACTAGGGTGGATTTCAAGCTCCGTCTGTCTATCTTTCCCTTCCTATCTGGACTCAGCAGATTTTTTGCTGCTGATTATTAACTCAAATCAGCCCGCTCTGCACTTCTGCTGGCCAGCTACAGTTCCCCATCGCAGCTTCCTATTTCCGAGGAGAATAGATTTGCTCAGACTGGCAACTCCCTCCAAGCAAGCGGGTTTGGCTCCACCGCCCCTTTTTCCCATGAACTGAAGCTGCTGGTTCTTGGCACGCGCCCCATTTGCACTGGGACCCAGGCCAAAAGCCGGCCTCTTTCCTCTGTTCTCTCATCTCCGAGGAACTAGCCCTGCGGTCAAGGCAGACCGGCGATGGCCTCCCCCATTTCCCTTCTGCTGCCAAGTTCCTACCAGATAATAGGATCCAGCTGTTGGGGGGGAAGGAAAAGAAAGAGTCCCTCCACCCGTCCTGAGGTATTGCCTCCTGTTGCATCATCCATGCCGGGTCTATAAACTCCCCTTGCGCCCCCCTCTCTTGACTCATTTGCTGTATCCCACTCGGTCCAGACGTTGCATCTCTGCTCTGCTAGGCAAATCTCAGCATCCCACACTACAGAACATGCTTGTTTGCCTTTGGTCTGTTCTTCTTTTACCAAACAAAAATGGGGCTGATGTATCGGTGAGTTTACAAGGGAGCGTTGGGGGTTTGGGGGGGTGGAAGGAAGAAATACTGCTTAGAGGTGCAGTTGACTTTTTGGTACTGGGGTATGTGTGTGTGTGTGTGGAAGAGGGAAACTCCTGTTTAAGGGATGCTAGTATGTTCTCCATCTCTGTTGAGAGGTCGTACCAATAGCTTGGCAAACGTGTTGAGGAGATTGGGGTTCAAATTCTGATTCAGCTGGGAGGCCTGCTGAACCTTCTCTTGTTTCCTGTGATCTGGCTCTTGAGTTTATTGGGGAGATGAAATTAGAGAACCTCACAAAGCCACCCGGAGCGGTTTCATGGAAGGATGGGGGGAAAGGATCCGAGGGCAGCTCGCGAATAAAAGTGCATTTTCACAAGCCAATTTCTCTTTCCCTTTTGCTGATTTCAGCCTCACCATTTCTGCCGACGAGGAGAAAAGGTATGTAAATTGATTTCGAAATGAAAGGAGGGTGCAGAGCCAAAAACTGCAAAAAGGGGTTGGTCTGTGGAGGAGAGAGGGAGGGAGGGCGCTATGGGTTTAGCCTCTGCACTGCAACCCCTGCACAGGGGCCACGTCACAAGCCCTGCCGGATGTGGCTGGCAGCAGATGTATCTGCTACCCCACCGTTCAGGAAGCAAGGAGGTGGGGAAAAGGCGCTCCTCTCTTCAACTCTTGTGGCTTCCAACCTGACAAGTGTATCGGTCTGTCTTAGAGATGAGGCAATGCCGTCCTCTTCCGAGACAGATCATTTATTTATCCCTCCAGCCCGGTATGCCAACGTCTCTCTAGCTTTTGGCCAAGAGCAGTTTCCTAGCTGTGAAACCGCTCTTCCTTTCCAACTAGAGAGGCCACTGAATTTAAACTTGGGATGTTCCAAATGCAAAGTGTATATTTTTCCCCGTGGAGCTAAGAGCCGTCTCTGTAAGTGCTGTTGCTCTCTCCTCTGCTGGCCAGGGCTTGGAAAAGTTACCTGTTGTTCCTTTTGGAATGCTAATTCCCCGACAGCGGTCATAGTGGCCGAGGGATGCGGAGAAGGGCGGCTCAAGGGAATTTTCCCGACGTCCGGAAAGCTTGGGGGGCCGAAGGTCTTGGGGCCTTAATTTGGATGATGGGATTCCTACTGTCTCAGAAGGAAGGGCACCTCTGATCACATGCAGAGTGTTGGTCATGTTCTGAAGCCGGAATTCATCATCCTCTGAGAACTGCAGAGCTGGAAGGGAGCCTATGGATGATGGAGTCCAACCCTTATCAAGGAGGCCTAATGGGGAATCGAATTTCCAGCCTCTGCTTCCGCAGCCAGGCGCCTCAACCACCGAGCTATCCAAAATTAGTCCTGATGCAGCTGGGATGAACGAGAATATGCTTATTAGTAATTGTAACACAGGGGAGAGGAGGTTGGACTGGGATTGAGGAGGCCTAGATTCAAATCTTGACTCAGTAACACAAACCCACAGCATTTAATGTAACGAGTGGTGCCTTTTTATTAACTTTATCACTGCAAACAAAGATACACACGTACGTCCCACTCCTTGCATGTGGAATGATATCTTCGTTCCATTTTAATTGTTCCAGCAGTGGACTGGTGATCTAATGTATAATTGATGATATGCCTAATGCAGCTTTTTAAAATCTATATTACTTTTTAATTTATTGCCATCAAGATCCCACATGGTTAAGTAAATTAGTTTTTCAGTATTTTTATTTCTATTTTCATGACTGCATGACTGTCATGAACATTTTAAGAAAACTGCCAAGAGGCTTTTCAGTATTTTTATTTCTATTATTTCTGACCATCATGAACATTTTAAGAAAACTGCCAAGAGAGAAAAAAAATGTTGATTTAGTTATAAAGATCCCTAAGTCACTTGGGCCAGTCAGTCACTCACGTTCACTGTTTCCGAGCCGAATCTACCTCATAGAGTTGTTCTGAGGACAGGATGAAAGGCATCATGTGTTATAAATTATGCCATGCTTCATGGGAGAAAGTGTGTGGGATAACACCAAGAAATAGGCAATTTTAAAAGGGTTGACACTGTTCAGAAACCATATGTGTAGGGTGATGTGCCAAGATCTAAGAGTGAGGGAAACATCAGCTAGCTCGTTTCCTCCAGAGCATTCATGAGCTATATATCCGGTTGCTGTGGTAGAGTTACCAACTTCTTTTTCTGATAAGATTCCTGTGTCTTTCATAGCTGGGTGAGAAGAAAAAATTGGCAAGTGATATATTTCACAGCTCATTCCCTCAAGGAAACATTACCTGTTGAATAACCGTGGGCCACATTTTTCTTTAAAGGCAACAAGGACTTTGCAGAGAGAGAAAAGAGGCAGCCGTAATTGTGTCAGGAAGTTAATAGTGGTTGGGTGTAGTGATACAAGACGTCAGAACCAACACGGTCTGAATTAAGGAAGCTCTTCTCAAGCTGAGTTACTGTCTTTTACAGTTAGACCAGGGTTCAAGTGAGAGAGAAAAAAGAAGAAGAAGAAGGTAGGAGGGAAGTAGGAAAAGTAGGGAAGTGAGTATGGTCAGGCACGGAAGACCAACGTAAAGGTTAGCAGGAAGGCCCTGAAGTGATATCAGCTTTTCACAGCTTGTTACCCTCTCTCTAACCAGAATTACTGGGGTTGATAAGTGTTTTAGAATGCCTCTTGAAGGCATCAGATGGTCTGAGCTAAACCGTTCATAAATTCAAAAATTTGTTTTGGAACAACCCCCCCTCCCCCAAAAAATGATCAGAGTACATAATATTTCTACCTAATCCTCCTTTTGCCTCTATTTCTTTAAAGCACTGGCACAGCAGTAAGCTACTGTCTTTATAGAAGGAAGGGGTGGGGTTATATAATCAAGGCCAACCTGAACTCCGAGTGCTCTATAGATAGATATTTTCTGTTGAACGCTACTGAATACCCCCTTTATGTAGCGACACCCTTAGCTGAATAAGAGACCTTCTGTACTGCCTGTCCAGCTGCTGCTATGGGACCCTTCTCTTATGGCTGTCTGGAATGACTTCACTTCATTTTCTGTTTCCCCTACCCCCTGACTCCAGCTCTGCCATCTTCACTGCTATCGTGACGTATATGAAGCAGCTGGGGGTTAAGACGAAAGCAGCTGATAACAAGAAGTCCAAAGCTAACTTCTTCCGCAAGAAGGTAGGCCAACTTTGAATGGTGTGAAGAGTGTCTGTTAGGACTCTCGTTGTGCTGTTTATTTTGCTCACACGATCAAGGAAGTGCCTCCAGGTTGGTCAAGGGACAGCTTCCTCTAGCCCCCTTCCCTGAATTCACCCAGGAACTGTGGAGGAAGATTGAATCCCCAAATTCCTGCAGGGTTTTGTTTTTAATTTGACAACAGAGGTTCAGCTTTGCAGAAGTGAGACTACACACTCTGTTTGGAAAGGGGGAAATTATTTAGGGATAGGGGTGTCTCTCTTGCAAATATAGAGGTATCCAGATACTCTGTTCCCACTAGCGTTGTTTCTGTCTGTGTGGGTAATTTAATTCAGCTTCTTTTCTCCCTTCCTGCTGATTCAGATTTCTGGGACGAAGAAGCCCGAGGAAGCTCCCAAACAAAAAAAGAGCTTTAGTATTTTGGACCCAGCACGCTGGAACCGGGGCGACTCTCATTGTAAGTGTGCGTTCGGAACAGAAGCAAAGCTAGTGATGAATTTGTGTCTTAGGTCTTTTAAGTGGCCGTTCCCCTGATGCTTAGCTTGATACCTAAGCCACCTTCCTGATCATAAAGATGGGTTTAGCTTTGTGGAGTCCCCCCCCAAAAAAGACAAAAGGCATCCATTTTTGTTGTTCCTCTTCTGGAAACAGAGGGAAGCAAGTAGGCAAGATCAGGGCCAAAGCAGCCAATAGGGAAAAGAGGAGTGTGGTGTGATTGGGTCTCTCTGCTGGCCATCAATATAAACCTGAATGGCACAAGGCATGCATGTCCGACGGCGGCAGCATCACGCCAATTTCGGTCATCATCCCGCGAACTCTGCCTCCCCTCCTCACTGGAGTGGTTGACTGTGGACTATAGCCATGAGTGGCACAATGTCACTGCTTCGGACGTTCGGGGATTGGGGGGGCGGGAATGGACTGCGTGGCCCCTGTGGTGCCGAGCTTCCATGTCTAGTCATGGCAACCCAACCTTGAGGGGTTGTGGAAATCATTTTGCAGTAATAAAAAAAGTTCAAGCTCCAACCCAATGATGATCCATTGTATGTCCCAGGCCAACTTACCTGATGAGTCTGCCATGTTTGTGTCGCAGGTGGGTTTTTAAAAAAAAAAAATGAACACAAGCTTGTATATTCCCAAGAGGGAATTGATTTAAATCATTTTGCAGTAATAAAAAAAATTTCAAGCTCCAACCCAATGATGATCCATTGTATGTCCCAGGCCAGCTTACCTGATGAGACTGCCGTGTTTGTGTCGCAGGTGGGATTTTTTTTAAAAAAATGAACACAAGCTTGTATATTCCCAAGAGGGAATTGATTTTGTATCTTCCTCTCTCCAATTCTGTTTTCCTCTTCCTCCTCCTCCTCCTCCTCCTCTTCCTCTTCCTCTTCTTTCCTGCATTTTTGATAGATACTGATTACAGACAGTCCAAACCCGAGGGTGAAGGTACCAACACACCTCCCCCCCCCCGAGAACCATCTCCCGAATAGCATGGCGCCCTGTGTCTCATTTTGTCTCTCAGTAGAGGGAGCCATGAGAAACTAATACACTCCGTTGTAACAGCAGACACTAACTTTTGTATTCACGATTTTACTTAACCATATCCCCTATCATTGCTCTTACCCCCATAATACACTAATATAGATCACACACACAGTCTTTAAAAGTCCCTCACATCCCATCACGTGTTCAGATAAATCTCTTGGCATGCTATGACTTGCTCGCTGCTTGTGCGTCTGTCTGTCTAGAGTAATCACCCCATTGCGTTGTGTAATGATGTTGTGTTGCGTTGGAGTTGGGAACAGGTTGGGGGTTGGGCGCGTGAGGGCTTATGGGCAAGTTGGGCATCCGTGCGATTCTTTTTATGTGCCTTAGAATAGTTGCCCTCTGTGCTCAAACTAAGGGGTGAAGGGCCCTCTGTGGAAAACCCAGGCCCTTCCCTCTCACACCAAACATATTTAGGACAGATTGGCATGGGCGTTCAAAAATAGGTGAGGGGCACGAGTCCCCTCTGGCCCCTGATCACTTGAGAGTGAGTTGTTTGTCCCCGTGTTATGGTTTCTGCATCAAAGATGGTGTACGTATGTTTGTACGAGCCTAGAGTTGGGTCTCCAGAGGAGCTGGAAGCCAGCCTCCTGAATACGTAAGTCATGTTGAAACCCTCTGCTCACAGAAGTGGGTCACAGACCTTGGCCTGGAAAAAATATTCGTCATTCCAGACCAAAAACCCTTTAGTGTTGTTGCTTTTTTCCCCACTGCTCACTGCCTTGTTGTGTCCCGTGACGACGCAGAGGACTGGACATCCATAGGGTTCGTTGCAACGAAGAACTTTTGAAAAAGGGGTGATGAACGAAGCCAGGGTGGTAGGCCTTGAACCCGGAACTCGCCTATGCGCGGCCAGGGTCTGTGCCCCCCAAAGCCTGACAGCCATCGGGAAGCATTAAATGGCAGCCAAGTTGAAGGTTCCCTTTGTCATTAATAGGGACGGGCCAGGGCTATCTTGGTGGTGCTTGTCTGGCTTTCACTACTGTGGCTACTGACCTCATGGGCTATAAAGTGGGACGCACCAATTCTATAGGTTGCATCACCACCCTGTTCCACCTTTTTTTTTCCAGAGTCTAATTACCGATTTATGCTAATGAAAAGAAGCTCACCAACACAAGGAACACCTTGTTTATTGGTGACAATTAGCCACTGGGACGTCTTACCTTTCCCTTTACACAAGCATAGGTTGACAATTGGATTCTGGCTGTAACATCTGGGGGGAAAAACCCACCCTGGCCTAAATGTGCAAAACTCCCAAGGAACAGTCTCAAAGAGGAGTGTAGTTGGACAGCTAGCCACAACCTGGCCCTGGACAAAGGACTGGCGCCGGCAAGAGGAGGTCATTGAGTCAGGCCCAGACCTGCTAAGAAAACACCTGAGAGCCAGCATCGTCATCTTGGCAAAGGATCCAGCCAGGCTTCTGAGAGAGGATAGGCCTCTGAGTTTCCAGCAGTGGTTCCCAACCTTGGGGGCCCCAGATATGTGGGGAAATCCCCAGGGAACCGCCACTGGGACCAGCCCAGCAGCAGTTGCATTAAAACCAGGGAGAGATCTCTGATAAAGAAAGACAGACCACAGTCTTTAGTTATGAAGCATATCACCGGTGAGAAAGATGTCTGCCTTCTTCTTCCCCTAGACATGTCTTTTTATTAAGTACCATCATTAGCATTTTTAGCATAAAGATAAGATTTTAGCCAAAGAGGCGTCGAGAAACTTATCTTGTCTACACATTCCACACATGCACAGAGAGAAAATCATAGAACAATGCATCTTTATACTACAATAGCTTGATTATGCTAAACACCACTGGAGTATCCCTTAATAGCCACAAGATGGAACTTTGGACTACAAAATTCCCACTAAAAACTTCCCACACAGATATTCTTGGATGGACTACAACTCCTAGAAATCCTGGCTGGCACAGCTGGTCGCGAAGGTTTCTGGGAGGCTTAGTCTAAGAACATTTGGGGACCCGAAGTTGGGGACCGCCGGCTTAGAGGTCTGGCTTGTGCTTCCTGCCTGAGGGGCCATAGGTTGCCCCCTGGTTTTCTTGTGCTTCTGCACCAAAACCTAAACCGCTGGCAGTATGAAGGATTTTTGAATACATGCCTGTGTTCTGTTAGCTTGCAGTTACTTCTCACTACGTGCTGCTCTAGTCCAGAAGTGGGGAAATTTTTGCTGGACTTCAAATCCCATGATTCCTCACAGTTGGCTGTGCCCACAAAGGCTGTTGGGAATGGCGTGCCATGACATCTCCTGGGTGCTCACCCCTGATCTAAGCCTTTCAGACCTAAAGGGGACCTCTTTGTTAAGCTGCTACCATCCCTTTCCAGTGGTCAGGGGTGGTGGCTTCTTCACGTAGTTCTTGGCCCTCTTCTCTGGACTGTAGAATTTAGATCATCTGACGGCTGAATTTTCAGTCCCTACCTCATATTAAAAGCTGGGACTATACAGTGGTGCCTCGCTTAACGACGTCTAAGCCTTTCAGACCTAAAGGGGACCTCTTTGTTAAGCTGCTACCATCCCTTTCCAGTGGTCAGGGGTGGTGGCTTCTTCACGTAGTTCTTGGCCCTCTTCTCTGGACTGTAGAATTTAGATCATCTGACGGCTGAATTTTCAGTCCCTACCTCATATTAAAAGCTGGGACTATACAGTGGTGCCTCGCTTAACGACGTTAATTCGTTCTTAAAAGCTGGGACTATACAGTGGTGCCTTGCTTAACGACGTTAATTCGTTCCAGCGAAATCGCTGTAGAGCGAAAATGTCGTAAAGCGAAATTTCAAAACCCATTGAAACGCATTAAAACCCAGTTAATGTGTTCCATTGGGCTAAAAACTCATTGTCCAGTGAAGTTCCTCCATATGGTGGCCATTTTCGGTGGCTGTATAGCAAGGAATCCGTCCCTAAGCACAGCGGGGAGCTGTTATTTTGAAACCCGACGATCAGATGTTTTGATCGTCGTAATGTGAAGAATCGGTTCCCGAAGCAGGGAACCGATCTCCGCAAAGCGAAAAAAAAACCCATTTAAAACATCGTTTTGCAATCACAATTGCGATCGCAAAAACATTGTCGTGAAGCGGATTCATCGTAATACGGGGTAATCGTTAAGCGGGGCACGACTGTAGTGGCCTTTATCTCCCATTAAACTAGAGATGGGAACCTGAAGACTTCCTAAAGCAAGCTGGGTACTCAGTGGGTTGACCTTGGAAGAATGGAAGTCCGAGTCAGCCTTGAGCTGACTGACTGAACCCGTTGGGATCAAACTCAGGTCATGAGCTGAGTCTTTACTGCAGTGCTACGATTTAACCCCTGCACCGCAAGGCTCCAGCCAGACATTGGTTGAATACTCCTCTGATAAACCCTAGATAGCATGTCCTGATGGTTAGGACTGGCCTTAGAACTGCAGAGATGGAAGGGGTCCTAGGGATCATCAAGTCCATCCCCAGTCAAGAAGGCACCGTGGGGGAATCGAACTCCCAACCTCTGCAGCCAGATGCCTAAACCACAGAGCTATCAAAAGTGTTACCGAGCAACTCGAAAGAGCCACAGGTTTCTCAGTAACCACAGAGCTATCAAAAGTGTTACCCAGCAACTCGAAAGAGCCACAGGTTTCTCAGCTGTGATTAAAACATCTAAATCCTCAGGGACATCCTTAGAATGGCCACACACCACAATTCAGAGTTTAGGGGGAAAGTGCTTGGGGGTAAATAGCATCTCTCTCTCTCTCTTAATCCCGGCACTAAATGAGGAGCCTTAATTTGTGCATAAGCCCAACAGCGGGGGGAAAAAGATTCTAGCCTGATGTGGAGGAGAAAGGGTGGAAGGGAAAGGGAGAACGTGAGGGCATCTGAAACACTGGAGCTGGGTCTGTTTTGATTCTCGTTTCGTATCTCTCCTCTTCCAGCAGGTGAAAAAGCACCAGCCTTGGACAGGAAAGGAGCAAAGCAAGCCGAGGGAGGCCTGGCTCGTGGGAAGGGAAGCCCTCTGGGTCCCGATGTCCCTGCAGTGTCTGTCAGTGTTCACCCCCCACCCGGGGAAGCCAACGACGGAGAGCAGGGTGAGACGCAACAGAAGCACGGGATGGGAGAGAAAGCGGTGTTTGCATCGTTCCCACCACCAGCATGGCACACCTGGTGGGTCCCATCACACACACACCCCATGCTCATGGGATCCCCCTTGCCATCCGTAGGCTCAGAGGCTCAAGGTCCAGTGGATTCGGTGGATGTCCCTGTCGTGGAGCAACCACTGGCTGGGGACCAGCCCACAGCAGATGATGGAGCAGAAAACGAAAGGTAAGAGGAGCTTGGGACAGGGGTCATTAGGGTGGGTATGGGCGGATAAATGGATTCCGTGGTCCCTGCTTTTTAGAAATACATTTACCTGTGTTGTGGGGGTTTTTGAAGCTCAGCTTGTCTTCTGATTCCAAATTGTATGGGGCAGGGATGAGCATGCACACGAGTGTCTGCATGCCCGCTCGTGCGCATGCGTGAAGAGGTGAGCTCAGGCACACGCCAGCACTGGCATGTGCACACATGTGCAAAGCAGCTGTGGGGAGGTGAATACATGCGGAGGGGCAGGAGGTCTGTCTCCGCGGCCCGGTCCGGCTCAGGCCACGGACCGGCACCGGGCCGTGGACCACGGGTTGAGGACCTCTGGTCTAAAAGAGAAGTCAGAAACCACACCAAAGGATTCTTCTCCCCTTTTATTATGATGATCGTTCTCCCTTCTCCTTCGTTCCCTTTCTTTCTCTCTTTCTTTCTCGTTCTCTCCTTTCACTGTTCACCTAATCACCCTTCTGTATTCTGTTCTTTCCTTCTAGAAGGCGAAAAAGGTTGGTGCGGGTTGAGAACCTCTGGTCTAAAAGAGAAGTCAGAAACCACGCCAAAGGATTCTTCTCCCCTTTTATTATGATGACCGTTCTCCCTTCTCCTTCGTTCCCTTTCTTTCTCTCTTTCTTTCTCGTTCTCTCCTTTCACTGTTCACCTAATCACCCTTCTGTATTCTGTTCTTTCCTTCTAGAAGGCGAAAAAGGTTGGTGGTCTCCTCACTCACCCCCCCTCACCCTTTGCATGAATTTCTTCCCCAGGGAAAGACCCGCAAACGAAGCTAAGTATTACTTTCTACCCAGCCGAGCTGGGCTTGGGAATGGATGCTCTCCTTCTCACGTCAGCCGCTTGTGAAATGGCACCGTTTAACCTTGGGGAGGGGAGGGGAGGGGAGGGAGGGTCTCCTGGGCAGAGAGCGGCGAGCGCTCGTCACCGCAGATGCCGCGTCCTCTTGAGCTCCCCCTCAGAGACCCAGCCTCCCCCAGTAGACTCAAGCGGAGGGCTGGCTGGCTGGCTGGGGCAGTCCACCCCCATTGAGAATTGGGGCTCTCTGTAGAGGTGATGTCCTCTTTCTTGAAGCACAACCCTATTCTCCGAGGCTCTTTGGCTGTCTGGGAGTTTTGGCTTGTCAGCAGTGGGCCTGACTTTGCAAATCCCCACCCCCCACTGCTCACTATCCCTTGTTCTGATGCATGGATCTCTTCACTGGTTCTGGGATTCTCACGATTCTTTCTCTCCCCTTCTCTTTCCACCGTTGCACGTGCTCATGTCTGTCTCTCCCCGCTGGCCTCCCCCCAAAACTGGACGTTTGCTCGGCTTGTGCTTTTCCTCCCCCGTCACCCTCCCCCCCGCCACGTCTTCCCCGGTCCGTGCGTGGCGCCCACCTCCCGCGGCGCTCTCTGAACCCCCTCCTGTGTCTCTTGTGGCCTCCCCTCATTCCGTGGCTCATTTCATCCCCACCTCCCCCTCGTCTCCCAATTGGCATTTCAAAACCAACATGGACCCCCCCTCTCCTCCTTTTGGTTCCCACCCCGTGGTCTGCGTCCTTATCCGTCCGTGACGTGGCTCCCTGCCCCTTCGGATCCCCCTCGTCTCCCAATTGGCTTTTCCAAACCAACACGAACCCCCCCTCTCCTCCGTTTGGTTCCCACCCCGTGGTCTGCGTCCTTATCCGTCCGTGACGTGGCTCCCTGCCCCTTCGGAAACCCGCCACCCCCTGCCTCCCCCCGCCACCAGGCTGACTGGGAAGTTGGGCCGCTCCGAGAGCCTGCGCGTTTACGAGCGGAAGCGGTCTCAACGTGGCTCAGCCAAGGGCAAGCAGCCGCGCTCACGGAGCGATGTGGACCTCGAGGCTGCTGCCCGTGCCAGTGAACTGGAGGAGAAGCCGTCCCTAGGGCAGGCCCGACAAAAGCCGGGGAGCTGCAAGTAGGTGCAGGGGGTGGCCTCTCCGGAGAATGAGTGCTGGAGGGAGGTGGAAACTCGGGCGAAGGCGGGGGGGGAGATCCCTTCCAGAGGGGCGGTGCGCTGCCTGCACTCCATACCGTTTTCCTTACTTTGTGATAAGAGCTTACCAGGTTATGTGAACTGCAACAGGGAATAACTGGCTTCCCAGCTTTCCAACACTGGCCGGTTCAGTGCAGATTCAACGGGTGATGATTCTCTCTCTCTCTCTCTTTTCTTTTCCCTTGATCTAAAAAGATCAAGCAAGGAAGGAGATGTATGCAAGGGACGGAGGCTATTCCGTGGCTAAGCAAGGCAGTGGAACAGCTGCACACTTGGAAACCGTTCCTCTAGCTTGGAGGCTGAAAGCCCCCTTTTCTTGCGTTATTTAACCCTTTCCAGTGTCCACACTGGCTGGGTTATAATGGGAATTGCAGATCAGCGACGTCTTCTCTTTACTGGAGGAGGCGGGAGAGTAGGATCCGCCTCCGGTACCGTCCATGCGATCTGTTGTTTGGCTCCTTACTGGTGACAACAGCTGTCATTCCGTTTTTCCTGACTTGGGCTCCCTGTGTGTGTTGGACTAGCACTCCCATTATCCCCTGCAGCAGTGTCCGTGGAGAGGATGGAGGTTATAGGCCAGTGCCTCTTGAAACCGCAGGTTAGGTCAGGCGGGTGGAGTTTTAACAGCAAAAGATGCCTCTCTCCAGGTATGTTAGAAGGCATGTCACTGGCTGTGCTGAATGAGACCAAATTCAAGGCCCATGGCTTAGGGGGGGAAAGTCCATTGTTCCTCACATCTCTTTCTGAGACCAAGAGAAACAGGCAGAGACCATTCCTGTGACTGTTTAGTGAACAGCTACTGATTTGTGGAAATCCGTTCCATACTTAAAAAAAAAAACCAAAGCATCTAAACCATTCATCTTGTTCTAAATTTTCTAGGTTTGTTCTTGGTTTCCTCGGGAAAATGTAAAGAGAAAAACACTCCCCTGTGTAAATCAGAAAAAATATCTGTGTGGAATTTATTAATACTCGCTTCTGGGATATTGCGGTTGATTTGGCAGAAGGTGTAAGAGGAGTGGGCTCAAAAGGAGAGAACGTGTGGTCAGACCTTTAGTCCGGGAACTTCTAGAGAACTGAATGTGACGCTGTTTGGCATGAGCGAGGGCCTGTTTTTCGTGCTCTGCGATGTCTCCTTTCCTGTAGTGTAATAGCAGGAAAGGGATACATCATCTGGGAATAACCTCCTGTCATTTTGCATAACAGGCCAGCGGGACCTTTCAAAATTTCGAAGATGTTGAATTTAGGCGGATTCTTTCGGAGAGCGATGGGAGGCTTTTTGGAGGGGTGGTGGAAACATTAAAAGGAAGACTGTTGCTCTGGTTTCTATAAGTCTCTTCTCACTGAACTGGTGCCTTTCTCCCTTCTCTCCCCTCCCTTTAAACAGTTTGGAGCCCGGAGGGGCCGGGGGAGGGGACCCCCCGCCGTCCTTTCTGCATCCCCAGTCTGAGGAGAATGAGCCGCGCGTTTCGGAACTGGAGCTGGAACCGCCGAACTGGCGGGAACTCATCCCCCCCGACACACTCCTCAGGCTGAAGAAAAGTGAAGTGAAGCGGCAGGAAGTGATCAATGGTAGGTGATGTTCCCCCCCCCTCGAGACAGCCTCATACCTGTTTCACAGAAGGGCAAGTTGAGGCTTGGACCAGCCCAGACCTTAGGCTGGCGTGAGGGATATTAAACATAACAAACAAACAAATATTGACAATATAGAACTCCCTTCCATCAATATCCACCTATTGGCATGTTGGTTTACAGATAAAGGTTACAGAAGGGGTAGGCATGTTAGTCTCTGCAAGCATGATAGGAGAAAACAAACTAAGAATACAAATTAGAAACAGACAATGAATCTGGCGGCACCGTAAAGTCTTAACTTGTCCACGAAAATTTACATGAAAAAAATACAAAAGTTAGTCTTTAAGGTGGCACCACGTTTTTGTCTTTTTTTAATTTTTGTATTTTTATTTCGTTTGCACCTATAATTCCAATGAAGGTGTCCTCATCATTTCTCACGTGTGTGCGCCTGCAGGTACCTGCTCACGCACGCCACATGTACCCCCAATGTTAATTATTACCCAGGGTTGTGTTTGTACTCTGGCACCTCTCCTCTCCTGCCGCAATCCGAGTTCTGAAATAAAGAACGCCAAAGTTCAATCCGGGAAGTTCACAACTGCATCCGTTGCGTAAGGCCGTCCTGCTTCTGTGCCTTCGGAAAGGAAATTACAATTTGGAATGTTTTATCAGGAAAGGGATAACAGGAGAGGGAGCGTTCTGGATCGGGTTCCACTATTCACCTGTCAAGGATAAAATCCTTCTTTTAAAAAGCCCAAATAACTGTTGGGGGTTAGCTCAGTGGTTGAGGTCTCTGGCTGCGGAGCCAGATGTTGAGAGTTCAGTTCTCCACTGCGCCTCCTTGAGAGGGGCTGACCTTGATGATCTGTAGGGTCCCTTCCAGCCCTGCAGTTCTAAGATTTATTTATTTACAAACCTGCCGTGCCCCACATTCTGATGATGGTGCCACTGCTCGTTGTTCCTCTGTATGTCCCCAGCCAGGGTGGGCAGGAGTTAGGAGAGGGCAAATTTGTGCCACTGTCTTTTCAGGCAGGCCACGCAGAGCTTGCAAATGTCCCATGTCCCAACATTTAAAAAAAAAGTAAGCAGGAAGGGCCCAGAAGGGAATCTGTGGATCTGGGTTTTAGGAGACCGGTGGACAGGTCTTCTTGGAGTGCTCCAAGCCGAAGAGCAGGAGAATTAAAAACCACTATTTCTCAAGACTTCTGGGAAGGGGGAGGGGGAATCATCCTTTTGTAAAAACAAATACAAGCAAAACCTCAAAAAAAAAACTTGAAAGGGGGTTGGTTGGGGGGGATCCCCGGAGGCTGTGTTTGTTCACCCCAGCCTGTAGTGGGTCTCAGGGGCCCACGGCTCTCTGGATGGTCTTGGTCACAGACCTGCATATCTCCTGCAGAGCTGTTCATCACCGAACATGCCCACGTCCGGATGCTCCGGGTGCTTCAGGAGGTCTTCTACCAGCCCCTGCTGACCGAGGGGTTCTTTTCGGAACGAGACTTGGAGAACATCTTCCCCAGCTTGGAGGACCTGATTGACGAACACAGTGAGACGAACTCTGGGGGGAGGAAGGAGGGGTGACGAGGCTCGAAAGGGGGGGCCGGGGCGCGCTTGGCGCGACCTCTTCAAAAGCCTAGGCTTCAGAGAGGTCTACCTTGAGTTACTTCCAAAAACTTGGCTGCCACTCACCCCAAAGACTCATTTCTACATAGCTGTCCCCATCGTTGCAGCAACCGGAGGGGTGGGAGAGATCCTTTAGATAGCCACTCTCTGCTAACATTAGAACCCTTTAACCCTAAACTTGGATAGACTATTGCTTTTTTCCTAGACCTGGTGAATTAGCAGGATATACTTTTTTTTTTCCATTCTGCAGTTGATTTCGTAGGTCTGTTGTCGCTGACAATAAAGGAAGTGATAGCCTTAAGTCTGCAGGAGTGGAGCAGGGTTATTAATAGAGATGGGGGTCTTCGTATTCATTTATTCGTGTGTTTGTTTATTCATGTATTCGTATGTGCTGTCAAATTGCTTCTGAATTAATGATGACATTGTGAATCAGTGAGTGACCTCTAAGAAATACTGTCATTAATAACTAGAGGTGGGGGCTTTGTATTTGTATACGAATGCAAAGCCTCCCCCCCCGGAACAAGTGGTCGCCCTGATTATCTCCCACCCCCAGATTCTGCCGGACCACTTACCACACAGCACATGCCATATGTTGCTGGCGGCGTTATCACTGCGCCAATTGCAATAGTAGCCCGACTGCCGCAGCCCGCCTCCCTGCTCGCCCAGCCACTCCGACAAGGGGGCAGGAGGGCGTGTCTCCCTGCTCAGCCACAGAGTGGCTGGGCGAGTGGGGAGGTGTGGCTGCAGCAGCCAAGCTACTGCCACGATAAGCGTGGTGATGAAGACACCGGCGATGCGTGATGCACACTGAGCGCTAAGTGGTCCGGCGGGGCCTGGGGGTGGGAGATAATCAGGGCGGCCACTTGTGCCGAGGGGCTTTGTCTTCATATACAAATATGAAGCCCCCATCTTTAGTTATTAATGATAGTATTCCTTAGAGGCCACTCGCTGATTCCCAATGTCATCATTAAGCCGGAAGCAATTTGACATCACATCACAATAAAAGCAGCCTCTCTAGCTGGGACCTCTAGTTGGATTTAAGCCAATGGCCCTATGGGGTCACGTCTTGTCTCCCCCCCTTGGTTTCCGTGTGGGTCAGTGTATGCGATGATGGCCCTATGAGGTCACGTCTTGTCTCCCCCCCCTCTTGGTTTCCGTGTGGGTCAGTGTATGCGAAGCAAGCGGAGGGCTGTCATGGGAAGCTGTTACCAGGTTTTGCTGCTTCCTCAATGTTTTTTTGTCTCCCACCTCCATCTCTCCTCAGAAGCGTTTCTGGAGAGCTTGAAGAAACTAAGGGAGGAAAACAATTCGCTTGTTTCTGAAATCGGAAGCACTCTGCTGGCTCGGGTAAGAGCGGAGGAGCGAGACCAGCTCGGAAGAGCATCCGGGGGGCGGAGGACTGTGGCGGGTTAGAAGGCTTTAAGACACAGGGATCAGGGTTCGAGCAGAGGACTCGATTGACAAAGAAGGGATCGCCACCGGAAGTTGGAGAAATAATGTGCCGTCCATGGGATTATGGGGTCCGTAGTCCATTAGTGGGGCACCAGGTTCAGGAAAGCTAAGCTTCCACGTTAAAACTCCATTGAGGCCATTCTCCAAATTTTACTTCTCAACACCGTGTCCTGCCTCTCAGCACTTGATGTCTCGTGGCTGAATATATTCATCAATTTCCTGAGGAACATCAGCTGTATTTCAGCTGATAGTGCAGTGTATCCTGCAGATGTGGGTTTGTGGTATGGGCAGATTCGCACATGCAAACTAACCTAGATGTGTGGTTACAGTTCCGGTGTATAACGCAAGAGAGCTTGTGCAGGGAAAAATAGAAGTTACACTGAAGGTGAAGATGAGGCGAAGGTCTTTTATATGACCACTTTGGCTATTTTTTCCTTAGTTTGACGGAGGCGATGGAAGCTGGTTCCAGAAGATTTCAGCTCGCTTCTGCAGCCGCCAGTCTTTTGCGTTGGAGCAGCTGAAGTCCAAGCAGAAAAAAGAACCTCGTTTCAACCAGTTCATACAGGTAAATCACTGGTGGAGCCTGGAATACCTTCTGGAGCAGGGCTGCGACACCCCCGATGATGCTTGGCAGCGGCCACAGAAGCCCATGTCCCCAAGAGTTGTGTCTTTCATTTTTAGAAGAAATCATGGAGCCTTTCAAGTTTTTAGCCCATAAAGTTGAGCTTGGAAAAAAAGCTACATGGCATGATTCAGTTTTAGACGTGGGTACGTAGCTCCTTGAGGCTTAAGTGAGCAGAAGCATAGTGAACTGTTTTTATTGGGGAGGGGTGTTTTGTGGGGGTTAAAAAATTTTTGCAGATGATACGTTTCCTGCTTTTTTCCGATTCATTTTCCATTTTTAGGAGTAATCAAGTATTATTCCACTCATCATATCGTTCGGGAAACCAAAGGGCGTGATCATTTGGTTTCTTCTGAAGAGCTTCCTGGAGGAGTCCTCTTCGGGGTACCTTCCCCCACTGCTCCGAAACATTGTTGGTTTGTTTTCTTCTCCTTCCTGCAGGAGGCAGAAAGTCAGCCTCGGTGCCGACGGCTGCAACTGAAGGACATCATTCCCATTGAAATGCAGAGGCTCACCAAGTACCCCCTACTTCTGCACAACATTGCCAAATGTACAGGTGAGCAGCGGCGGGGTGTCTTTCTGTGTGGCCCGGATGGCCCGAAATGCCCCCCCGCAGCGTAGGAAGGGGCAGATCAGTCTGTTTACACTCCCATGTTAGTTTCGGCGGTACATCTTCGTAACACCTTCTGTCCCGTTTTTCCACTCAGGTGTCTCAAAAAATTGACTCAAGTCTAAAAAATTATTCCCAAAAACTTGCAGAGCACTCGGTCCATAGCTGTGTTATGGAAACCTAGCAGTACTCGAAAGTAAATGTTGACTTTGAATCTGTCCATCCAGTTAAAAAAAATGATACAAAACTATCAAAGGACCTGTAGGAATAGATAGATAGATAGATAGATAGATAGATAGATAGATAGATAGATAGATAGATAGATAGATAGATAGATAGGCTTTCCTTGCCCATACAGCGATGTTTTCGCATAGCGAAGGTTATATGTCTCTGTGTTCTGTAACAAAAGTGGCTTACATTTTTTAAAAAAAGAATCAAAAATGTTTCAACATGAACTCTGTATGTGTCACTGATGCTAACCAGCTCACGGCAGAACTTTCACGATTTGTTTTTATAGAATATGTTTTTATAAGTATTTTAAATATACATTTTTTGAAGATTTATTTTTTTGAATTTTTAAATAGACCTTTTGAATCTGGGTAAGCAAATTGACTCCTATTTTTTCATTCCAATGTTACAGGTATTTTCTCTTAAACTGTGGATTTTGGGCACATTTTACTCTAAATATGCATGTTTGGGTAAATTTTGTGCAGCAAAATTAAAGACACTATGCAAACGGTAGGAAATTTGCATACTAAACTGCTTATGTGAGAGAGGAAGGGGGGGATTCCTTGCTATAGAACTCTGGCTTGGGGCCCCACAGAAACCCAGAGTCAGGTCTGAATGAAATTCCATTGGAAGAAGTATTAGGACTCTATGTAATGGAATGTTTTGATGCATTGTTGGATAGCTCAGGGGTTTAGGTTACTCCTTATGGAGCCAGAGTTTGGGAGTTCGATTCCATTTAGGTTACTGCTTATGGAGCCAGAGGTTGGGAGTTCGATTCCCCCCATTGGGCCTCCTTGACAGGGGCTGGACTGAATGATCCCGAGGGCCCCCTTCCATCTCTGCCATCCGAAGCTGATTATTAAAGTCCTGCTCCATTCTTGATTCCCGCTACAGAGGAGACGGAAGAACGCAAGAAGGTAGAGACGGCCGCCGGGCTGGATTGGATGCTCTTCGGGGGCACCTTTCCAGCTCTGCCGTCCGAACCTAAAGTCCTGGTCTATTCTTGATTCACGCTACAGAGGAGACAGAAGAACGCAAGAAGGTAGAGACGGCCGCCGAATGCTGTCGGAACATCCTCAACCATGTCAACAAGGAGGTCCGCAACATGGAGAACTTCCTGGTAAGAAGAGCGCATCCTGTCGGTGCTGTTTTTTCCCCATAGTTTCTCCTTTAGTCCCTTTAGGGTCCCCTTCGTTGGTTCATTTTGCGCATCTTCTCCCCTTCTCCTCTCCAACCGTACACTTCAGAAACTCAAAGATTATCAGCGACGCTTGGACCTCTCTAACCTGAAGCAAAGTACAGACCCGCTGCTGAGCGAATTCAGGGTAAGTTCTGACTTTTATGCCCCCTCCCCCCAAAAAATCAGGCAGTGTGATGGAGGAACTAGAACTAGGCTGTAAATGAGGGAGTTACCTTTCATCCTCAGCTGTAAAAATGGCTGCCCTGTGAAACATGGGTCCGGAAAACACAGGGCAGCCATTTTGTGAAGCGAAAAAATAGTCGTCTTGCGAACAAACGGGTCGCAAAGCACGGACCTAATCGACATCCAGCAAAAATCCCCCATTGGAATGACTGTTTTGCGAATTGCTATAGCGATCGCAAAAAGTCATCGTTATGCGGATTTGCCATTTAGCGGGGTCGTCATTTAGTGAGGTACCACTGTATCATGATATCAAGCTCCCTCTAGTGACAAGTTCTGGTAACTTCATGGTTAAATATATAGGGTTTTAAATTTTTTTTATTTTTAATATTTTCAGACCGTGGATAAGTGAGCTAGCAGATACCGATCCTGTGGATAAGGGGATCCTACTGTATTTATATGATGGGTGGGACCTCCAGTTGTGGTTGGATTGTGCCTCCTCTCAGCCCTCACCCTTGACAGTAGTAGCTGACGGGCATGGCTGTCGAACGACATCAGGAGGGTTGCATGTTTCTGGCCCCTGTTGGATGTGACTTGCCCGTGTACTCAAAAGCCCTCAGTCTAACCGGCTCCCCCCCCCTTTCCCAGAACACAGACATCACCCGGAAGAATCTCGTGTGCGAGGGACCCTTGACGTGGCGCGTTTCCAAAGATAAATCAGTCGGTGAGTTGAACCACACGGGGCCAAGCTCTGTGCCCCCTTTTTGCCATCAGGGGGAGCTGAATCAGGCCAGGCTAAAGTCATCTTTTGGATCGGGGAGGCTTCTTCGGAATGCGCAAAAGGCAGTGAAATGAGAAGCACCCTTGAGCATGCATTCTGTGTGTTTTCCTCACGGCTGAATGATCCTGACTGTTTGTTGTCCACCCCACATGCTCATCCACCCCTTCCTGCTGCTGACTTTGTGGGCCATTTAATTACCCCCCTCCCACTCCGTAAACACTTGGTGGGGCACAGGAGAGGCCCTTCTCTGTGGCTGCTCCCAGAGCCTCTGGAACTCCCTCCCACAGGAGGCCAGGCTGGCCCCAGATTTGTTGTCCTTCCATAAGCAGGCAAAAACTTTTCTCTTCAGATTGCCTGACTGTCTGCCTGAGTGGAGTTTTTAAAACTTAGTTGCTGTCCTCTGTTGTTTTTAAATTTGTTTTAAGTAAAGGTAAAGGTTCCCCTTGACAATTTTTGTCCAGTCGTGTCCGACTCTAGGGGGCGGCGCTCATCCCCGTTTCCAAGCCACAGAGCCAGTGTTTTGTCCGAAGACAATCTTTCCGTGGTCACATGGCCAGTGTGATTTAGACACGGAACGCTGTTTACCTTCCCACCGAGGTGGTCCCTATTTATCTACTTTTAAAATTAGGTTGCTGTCCTCTGTTGTTTTTAAATATGTTTTACTGTCCATTTTAAATACAGTTCTTGTTTAATTGTATTTGTGAAGGCTTTCGCAGCCAGGATCTAATGGTTGTTGTGGGTTTTTCGGGCTGTTTGGACGTGTTCTGAAGGTTGTTTTTCCTAACGTTTCGCCAGTCTCTGTGGCCGGCATCTTCAGAGGAGAAGAGTAGCACCCTGTGCTCTGTTGCAGTTTGTTTGGGAGTTGAGTATTTATGGCTGTGAGATCAGCTTTTGTCCTTTCAGGAGATCTTTTCTCTTCAGATTGCCTGACTGTCTGCCTGAGTGGAGTTTTTAAAATTAGGTTGCTGTCCTCTGTTGTTTTTAAATATGTTTTACTGTCCATTTTAAATATAATTCTTGTTTAATTGTATTCGTGAAGGCTTTCACGGCTGGGATCTAATGGTTGTTGTGGGTTTTTCGGGCTGTTTGGACGTGTTCTGAAGGTTGTTTTTCCTAACGTTTCGCCAGTCTCGGTGGCCGGCATCTTAAGAGGAGAAGAGTAGCACCCTGTGCTCTGTTGCAGTTATATGTTTTACTGTCCATTTTAAATATAATTCTTGTTTAATTGTATTCGTGAAGGCTTTCACGGCTGGGATCTAATGGTTGTTGTGGGTTTTTCGGGCTGTTTGGACGTGTTCTGAAGGTTGTTTTTCCTAACGTTTCGCCAGTCTCGGTGGCCGGCATCTTAAGAGGAGAAGAGTAGCACCCTGTGCTCTGTTGCAGTTTGTTTGGGAGTTGAGTATTTATGGCTGTGAGATCAGCTTTTGTCCTTTCAGGAGATGGGTGATAAGTGTGTCTTCCTGTGGGTGTATTGTTGTGTTAAGGAGGACTGATTATCTGTCTTGTTTAATTCTTTTTTAATATTTGTGTACTCACTGTTTTTAGCATTTAAATGTCAGCTTCTAATTATTGGAAGCTGCCTTGGGTCCTTTCAAGGAAAAAGGTGGGGTAGAAATATTTTAAATAAATAAACAAACATAAACAGGGGTTGCCAAAGTGTAGCCTGTCGGTGTTGTTTCCCCTCTCCCCTGAGCCCTTTAATATGGAGTCCTCCAAAAGCAGATTTTTTGTTGTTTTGTTTTGAACGGGCCTTGGGCTGTCCCCTCCCCCCCAAAGAACATAAAAACTAGAAGTAGCCCTCCAGGTATTTCCTATTTTGTTTTGTTTCTTAATTTTTTGGGGGGGTGCATTTTTGACCAGTTTCAGCCTTGGTGCATCCATGATGAGTCCTGAGGGTGAATACTTGGCCCTTGCGCCCATCGTAAGTTGCTCACCCCTCCCTGTGCAATAGACCTGAGTCATGTGACGTGGGCTCTATAGCTCCTCGCTTGTCCTCTTCCCTTTCGGGAGAGTTGTAGAGTGTACATTTGCAGTTTGAGCTCCAGAGCATCCTAGGCCACCGTGTGATCTTGCCATGTCTTGATGTGCTCATGTTCAAGAGTGGGTTTTCTGAGTATGAAGGTGGGAGTTTGAGATAGGAGAACTATTTCTTTTTTATAAATGAAGTGTTTGGATAAAGCCAACCGTTGCAGCCGGGCTCAGAAGCATATCTTAGACTTAACTTCCCCTTCTTCTTCTTCTTTTTCTATTCTCTCTTTCCTGCCTCATCCTTTTTTTTTAGACGTTCATGTCCTTCTCCTGGATGACATCTTAGTCCTTCTCCAGAAGCAAGAGGAGCGCTTTATCCTGAAATGCCACAGTCGCACCATCATCCCAACCCCTGACGGGAAGCAAATGCTGAGCCCCATCATCAAGCTCAATTCGGCCATGATCCGCGAAGTGGCCACAGGTTGGTGCCATAGAGATGGCTTTCTGTATTCTGCATGACGTTGACTTGCAGTGGGGAGGTTGCTGGACGCCATACCTGTGGCAATTTAATTTTGAAAGCGGCATGAAGTGGGGCCCAGGTAGGTGAGTCATTGAAAACGCTGCTTTCTTGCCTCCTTGGCCATGTCGATTCAGGGGGTTCTGGGTATTGTAGTCCAGGAAAGTAATTTTTCTAAGCTTCTTCTGAAGGAAAACTTGTTTGGAGGGACCTGGCAAGACTGCTGAAGGTTTTTACCTTCCCTTCTCCCTTAGACATCAAGGCCTTCTATGTCATCATCAGCTGGGAAAACGGTGCTCAGATCTATGAACTGGTGGCGCAGACTGTCTCAGAAAGGAAGAAGTAAGATATACTGGGGTGGGGGAAAGGCTCATCTATTAAGGGGAGGAGACTCGTCATCCCTAAAGTGTTTGAGGAGTGCCCTGTGTCCAAGTCACGAGCCACCCATGGATGGGGGGGGTGAGGAACTGAAAGACTAGATAGATAGATAGATAGATAGATAGATAGATAGATAGATAGATAGATAGATAGATAGAAAGAAAGAAAGAAAGAAAGAAAGAAAGAAAGAAAGAATTGAAGAAGCCAGATGAGTTAGCTCAGCAGAGAGACTGCTTTGGCAGAAGAGGAGAAGACGGTAGAAGTGGTTCAGTTTGGGCTGAGGGGCTTTTGCTGGAGTTCTGGGATGGGTGAGGCGAAACCTTTAAATGTGTTTTAATTTGGACTTGGTCTCTGTGGTCAAAAGACCAGCCATCGTAGGATCAAATCCACGCAATGGAGGGAGCTCCCGTCGCTTGTCCCAGCTCCTGCCAACCTAGCCGTTCGAAAGCATGTAAAAATATGAGTAGATAAATAGGTAACACCTCGGTGGGAAGGTCATGGCGTTCCATGTCTAGTAGCGCTGGCCACGTGACCACAGAAACTTTCTTTGGACAAACGCTGGCTCTACGGCTTGGTGATGGGGATGTCGAACACGACTGGACTAAATGTCAAGGGGAACCTTTACCTTTACTTCCATAGTGGAGTGGACGATATAATGATCCATGGACCACTCTGAGTCAGGCGCCTTCTCCAAAGTTCAGGCATCTCTCCCTTGTGGGAGGGTGCTGCCTCCCTCTCCCTCATGGGAGGGCTGGCCCTCCTTCGCTCAGCTATGGTTGAAGCAGCCAAGATTCCATTTTCATTTTCCGGGCCAGGTGGAAACTCAGCAATACCTTTTATAGCGAAAGGGATTAGCTGGTTTTTGCCCCGGGGTGAGATCTGCCTGATGCCCTTCCTTTTTGCTCATTCTAGCTGGTGCAGTATGATCAGCGAGACGGCTGGCTCTCTGAAACTGCCTCGCTCTACCCACCAGAAGCCACGGCTTTCGGTCACCAACCGGACTTCGCCGAGCAATCCCGGCTAGTAAGTATGGGCTTGCTGGCAACAAGAGGGAAGGGACGCTAAAGCAACGCATACCAGGTTCATCTGAAAGTCAATCGTGAGGCCACTCACTCATGTGGGGCCGTCCTTGAGGGAAAGCTACGACAACAATACATGAGACCTACCACGATTTTAGAACTGAAACTTCACTAGCTCATGCGTTTTAATCTCCTTCCTTGACAGCTATGGAGAAAGCCTTCTGGGTGGGGTGGAGAACGGCGGTTCCCTCAAGGAAGTTCTACAGTCAGATGGTGAGTGTGTGGTGTATCGCTTTGGGGCTGTGCAGAAGAGGGGAGAGGCAAGCAGAACAGAAGTCCTCTTTGGATCCCGTTCCTCTTAAAGAAGGGCGTTTGGAAGACTCTTAAGCCAGATTCTTGCTGTTGAATCAGCCGGGGAGGGGGGGGAGAGCTAGGTTAAGCCCAAAAAGCTCGGGGTGGTGGTGGAAACCCAACCAGAATTGGTCTGAAGGCCACTTTTAGTTGGCTTAAAAAAAACAAAACAGTAATGTTAAAACGGGGTTGGAACTTGTTCATAATGTGAATCAGGGCTGGTCTTACCATTAAGCAAAGTGAGACCATTGTCCCAGACAGGAAATTTTGTGTTGCCGTGGATTGGCAGCAGAATTTAATGTTAATGTGCAGTATATTTACTGTCAGCAACGCTGAAATAATTTGCTTTAGGTTACTCTGCAGCTTATCAATGGGGTTTAGTTCTCACCCCTCAGACACTGTGTTGTAGACTTTTGGTGTTCTTGGGTCTACTGCTGCATTGCCAGAAGGGCAGTGATGTGTAGAAGTATATTTCATTAGCTGTCGTTGAGATGACTGTCACTCACTCTGTTCTAATTGGACCTCCCTCTTACTATCAGCGAAGGGATGTGGTGGCGTTGCGGGTTAAATAGCAGAAGCCTCTGTGCTGCAAGGTCAGAAGACCAGAAGTCATAAGATTGAATCCACGCGACAGAGTGAGCTCCTGTTGCTTGTCCCAGCTCCTCCTAACCTAGCAGTTCAAAAGCATGTAAATACAAGTAGATAAATAGGTACCACCTCGGTGGGAAAGTAACACCATTCTGTGTCTATTCACGCTGGCCATGTGACCATGGAAACTGTCTATGGACAAACGCTGGCTCTATGGCTTGGAGATGGGGATGAGCACCGCGCCCTAGAGTCGGACACGACTGGACTAAATGTCATGGGGAACCTTTACCTTTTTTACTCTGCAGCTTGGCTTGAGTGAGAAGTGCTGTTTGCTGCTCTGTCGACCTCAGGCAGCAAAATGTCTTGGGCCACTCTGAGATGGAGCACTAGGCGTTTCCAAGAGTGACAGTTTACCTTTTTTTTTCTTTTTCCAAACCAATCCATCCATCATCAGTCAGGGAGTTGGTCTTAGAGATGAAAACAGAAGGTCCAGGAAGGGACTCGGAGGGCCCGAGAGTCAGAGAAACAGACTTAAGGGCCAGGCTTGCGGAATTAGAACTCCCTCCTTAATCTTAAACCATGATTATTCTTTTTTTTTTTCCCTGAAACCAGAACGAGAAAAGGATGAGATGCTGGAAGGGGCAGAGTTTGAAGAACGCAGCCCTGTGGGTGAACCAAAGCTGGGCAAGGCCATGGAAGAGTTTTTGGCTGATATGTTGACACTCTACAAACCTCGGCCCGTCGGCCCAGGGACGCTGGCCTCGGCGGCACAGGAGAGAGGCGAGTGGCTCTTCTTTCTTCCCCCACAACTCCGCCGTACTGTGGACAAGGATTTTAGGAACATGACCTGAAACCAGCCGTATTGTATTTACAGTATCCGCCGTGAAGAGGTTACTTCAGTTATCAGAGGAAGGGGAGATGATCTTTCCAGCGGAGCCCATGGATGGCCCGCCCGAGAATGGGAACCCCCCTGAAGGGGAAGAAGAAGGGAACTGGGAAGCTGGTCATGCCCTGGAGATCGGAAGCAAGAGCAGCAAACGACAAGGTGAGGCTCTTAACACCCAAAAAGAAAAACAAAAGAAAAAATGTACTGCTTATATACTGCTGAAAGCACTGTCTGGGCAGGTTACAGAATTATCGTGCTCCCCCCCATGAGCTGGGTACTCAGTTTATTGAACTCGGAAGGATGGAAGGCTGAGTGAACCTTGAGCTGGAATTGAGCAGAGTTTTGAGTGCAGTACTGCAGTGTAGCCGCTACGCCACGAGAGGCATGCATAGAGGCAAGATAGGCTGGGGTTGGGGGGAACAGATGCGGGGAGAGAGAAGCTTCCTGGAGACAAGCGCAAGGAGTGTTGGAGGCGAAGAGAAGGAAATGTTCTGGGGAAAGACCAGATATGAAAATCTGAGAGGGGAAGAGATGGGCTGTGGTTCCAAGTGGTCAGGATTGGATTTATCAGAAAAGCCTTGTCTTAGGTTGGGGAAGAAGTGTATAGAAAAAGAGATGCCACCCATGACGCTAGGCCTGTTTATTTCTAACAGGAGACACCCCAAATGGCCCTCAAGAACCAGAGTGGGGCTCAGAGCACCTGGATAGGGAGGTGTCTTCTTCTCCAGTGATTCTGACCCACCAGCAGTCCGATGGGGTGAAGCATCACTTGCGGCTTCTAGAAGATGCCATTCAGGGCCTGAAGGTGAGAAGACAAGTCTCGTAATCCTGGAGTCACAGGCGGAGAATCAAGAGCGTCGTTCTGTGCTGCTTTGCTCTCCTTGCATGATTTAATTCTGACCTCCAGGGTTTCATAGATGTTTAAAAGTATTGTGCTGCATACAGTGGTGCCTTGCTTAACAGGCGCTCCATTTAACAACGAAATCGCTTAGCGATGACTTTTTTGGAGCATATTTGCCCTTCCTTTAGCGATGGTCCCTATGGGCGATTTTCGCTTAGCGATGATTGGGAGCATGCTTCGCATAGTGATTAAATTTTGGGTCCCCTGTTTCGCTTAACGATGGTTTAAACAGCCTCATGTTTGCTGTTTTTTAAATGTTTTTCTGTTATTTATAAAGTTAAAGTTTACTGTTTAAAATGTTTGAAATCATAAAGTGCACTTAATAAACCCTTTGTTAGCCAAATTTGACTTTGTTCTGACTCTTTTTAAATTTGTTGTTGTATTTTTCCCCCATTGAGATGCATTGAATAGGTTTCAATGCATTTCAATTGGGGAACCGCGTTTCGCTTAGCGATGTTTCCTATTGGAACAGATTATCCAGTTTTCAATGCATTTCAATGGGAAACCGCGTTTCGCTTAGCAATGAAATCGCTTAGCAGTGTTTTTTTCGGAACGAATTAACATCGCTAAGCGAGGCACCACTGTACTCATTTCGTAGTGGCAGAAAGAAGCCAGTGTGGTAACTTTCCAGCTTTCAGTGCTGGAAAGGAGAGCACGGGTCGAAACTGCATCTGCTTTATGTTGGGGTTGAGAGAGAGACAGAGGTGGAGAGGGGGCAGAATTTTCTTCAAATTCTTCAACCCTCGTGCTTAATGCTTTTAAGAAAAAAAAGAATTCAAAAATAAAGTACGTTTTACTTTTGCTAATTTGTTTTTAAGTTTGTTCCCACTTGCTTAGATCTCCAACGACTTTTTCTTGTTTTCTCTGTCCTGCCAGGAGATAGAAACAGATTATTGGCGCCTGCAGCAGCTGATGGGGAAACTGACGTCGGCTCAACAGCCCAGTTTCACATGAGGCTCGGCCAGTCAGGTGAGGCGGTGAAGGAAGCGGGGACACGGTGGGGGGGGGAGTCGGGGGCGCTGATGGGTCACCCGCGTGATGGGTTGAGAAGCTCAGGGTTTACACTCGGTTCGTCTGGTCCTCACAACAGGTATGCAAGTTAAGGTAGACTAAGAAGGTAGTGAGTGGTCCACGATTACGTGCTGATTGCCTTGGTTGAGCGGGGATTTGGAAGAGCCTTTGGGGTTGGGGGTTATGATGATGGGAGTGCGCCTGTAAGGTCATTACAAAGAGAACAGGGGGCTTCTTCTAAGACATTGAGGAATCGCAGCTGCATCCACTATACCGTGTGATCCTTGCAATTTTTTTTCTGAAAACAAAAGTCATTTTTTAAAAAAAAGCAATAACAAAAACATGCAGCACGAATTCAGGTAGAGATAGACGTTGGCCATGAGGCAGCCAGAGACCTTGACAAGCAGAGTTCCTTATGAGCAGGGCCTGAATCTCGCAGGGGATTGGATCCAGCGTGTCGCTCAGGAAAGGAACAAGGCAAACTTTTTTTATTTGGCTTACGTTTTTGAGAACGGTAGCCCACTTCTTTATAGACACGAGTGGGCTACCTTTCGTGACACCTTGCCCTGCACCCCACTCTTTGGGGCATCCCGAGACTATTTGTTGCTGTTGTTTCAACGGACCAACAAATATAGCTGCCACCTGAGTAGGAGAAGCCAAGAGGGGTGGTTTCTAGTTCTCCCCAGTTTGGATTTGAGTGGATTTGCTAGTCACTAGGATCCCTGCAGTGAGATTAATGGCATTTTTTTGGTCTGTGTGTGTCTTGGTTGTTCTCTCATCTCTAGGCCTGTCCTAGCCCAGAAGGAAGAGGTCTCTGGGCCACCCGTTCTCCTGCCAGAGGGCGTTTCGGCAATCAAGTGGGACCTTCGCTGCTGCTGCTTCTTTCTTTCTTTCTTTCTTTCGTCTTCCTTTTTTGTATAGAGGATTTGTAGTGTCAGGAGAGACCCTCTTGAGATTTTCAAAATATATTTATATACTGCCTAGACCACACTATTGGGAGGGGGGGCATATATAACAGCTGAGGAATTGCATTTAGGTAGCATGTCCTAGCCTTCCTGAGAAGCAGAAGACAGCTGTTCCATCGGGGCGAAAAGGTGCTCTAGGATAAATCAGCTTTTCCTTCCGCTGCTAGCTTTGCAAAGGTTGGTCCCAGTGAGAGTTGTTGGGTGTTTTATTTGTTTTTTTTTTTAATTTATTTACAAAATTAGGTTCTGGTGGCCAAAAAAAAAGGAGGGCGGGGCAGTCGGCTTTTGACTTTGACAGCCGCAGCTCCTGAAAACAGTAAGGAGGACCTGGCAAGGTTTTAGAGCAATAATCACCGAAAGGGACCTTCCATCACCTAAAAATGGCGGGCCGGAGACCTCAGGGAAGAAGGTTCCTAGGGGTTAAGGTGAAGGTGGTAGGAGACTCTACCTTCATCTTCTCCCCCTAGCTTGTTATTCTTCACTTCCTGGTGAAATAAGGTGCTTTAGAGGTCTTCCTCCTCATCGATTGTTGTGCCTTCTATGAATCTAATCCTTCCAAAGGAAAAAAAAAACAGAAAAGAAATCATTGGTGCCCACAGCAGTTATAGCTGAAAGAAGAAAGTTTCTGAGTTCGAAAATGTGCTTTTCTATTCTCACTGTAATTATTTTTCTCTCCACCCCGCTTTCCCCCACAAAAACACCCCACCTTTTAAACTCCACCCCCCTCGGTTGTATTATATGAATTCTTTCCTGTTCTCTTCCGTTCTCCACTTCTCCAAAGTGTTACTTCAGCCTTCCCTTTCAATCTGCCTCAGAGAGCCTCGGCGTGCCATACCTTTCCTTAAGCCCGTTGTAGCACTAAAGCCAGCACACCACACAACACGCGCATACAAACCCACAAACACACACACACACCCCTTTCAAGGGAATCCACTGGTGGTGAGCTCCCTGTGCAAATTGAACATACAGCTCCTCTCCACTGCTCTTGTGCCAGACTTCACAGAACACTGGTCTCAACGATAGGACAGTGACCCAGAACATAGCCCTGTTTCACGACCCAACGTAACCTTGGTCGCACCGGTGGTATTACAGCCATCTTTTGAGAGGTGGAAGAAGACCAGACATGGGGAGGAGGGTCATGCACGGGCTCACTCTCATAATGCTGGGATTTTGCCCAGAACTGCCTCAGATGTAGGGTGTGAAAACAACAGAGAAACTGTGCGGTTGCATTGATAAAGGCTTACTTATGCCAGATGGGTAAGGTTCTCAACTTCTTCCTGACTATTGGGGGCGAGGCGGATGTGCTGTTCCAGCAAATGGACAGCAGGTGGAGCCATATCAACAAGTAATCAGCCCTTGTGGCTTTTACAATTGGTCCTGTTGGCGTTTGCAGTATTTCGGAGGAAAGGGTGCCCGTTCCTCTTCCTACCTCCGTCCTTGTATGTGGCAGTGAGTTGTCATCAGACCTGGTTGATTCGATGGAAGCACCGAGCTTTTCTGTTGGACATCAAGATCTGTACGGTGCGCTGAGCACCCCACCTCTCCGTTTTCTGATTTTGGCATGTCTCCCGTTGCCTTCTCTTTCACCGTGTCTCTTCATTCCCCCCCCCCCGGCAACATGCACCTCTCTGGTAACTTTAAAAAACCAAACACACGTCTTCTGAGAGAAGGGACAAGGTTGAGTCGCCGGGAGAATTAGGGAAGGAAAGACGGATGGAGCATAAGAGTGGAAACCTCTGGCCTTCCGGATGTGGGTAAACAACAATTCCTATCACCCCATGGGACTGATAGGAGTTGGGGGTCCAGCAGCAACTGTAGGAAGGACCATGGAGTCTCCCTCCCTGCCCTGGTTTGGGGGGGATGGAATGGGGATGTGGAGAAAGTCCGACGTTCAGCTGGGAAAGAGAATGGGGTAGGAGGGGTGCCTCCAGAAGGGGAAACAAAGGCCAGGTAGACCGCAAAGGTGTCTGTAAGCAGGCAAAGCTGGGGTCTTGTCTGCGTCCTCAGAGACCAGAATGCTCTTCTGTTGCACATGTTCTACTTTTTCTAAGTGCCTTTATTATATTGTGTTGATAATGTGCTTGTATTTGTAAGAAAACTCATATTTTGCTGGGATATTTTATATATATGTGTGTGTGTATGCGTTATACGCGAATATAAGGGAGCGGAATTGACTCCCATCAGCTGGGACGACAGATCCAAAGCTTTTTATCCAGGCGGTATTATTATTGTTATTATTTTGTCTATTGCTGTACAAAGAACATAAACCTGTATCTTCAGATATATTAGACTGAGACTGTGCCCTTTCCTTGGTTTCTCCGTATTATGGGATAGGTAAACGCCCCTCCCAAATCTGTTAGGCAGAGGGGTTGTTTTTACAATCACACTTAAAAATAATAATTTTGAATTGAAAAACACAGAATTTAAAGGGGAGGAAGGTCAGTCCTTAGGATCTGTTTGTTTCTGATGTCTCTTAAACAGTTGCAGATTATTTTGGAAAGCCTCCAAATGGTGTCCTACAGATTAGTTCACCTGTTCCCTTACCCCCACACACCAAAGTGCCAAACATCTCTCTCTGTGTGTTTGTATGTTTTGCTTTCTAGTCTTGGTGTGAGATCTCAAACTTGAATAATTCTGGCCTCTTGGGTTTCTCACATACACCAAGGCCAGTGTACAGCAGACGACAGATGAGAGACCTCCCATTTAAAGTATTTATTTTAGTGGCTCTTCATGCCAATCCTCTTCCTTGGTGCTAAAAACTCATTGTACTGATACGTTATCTTTATTTGAGCCCCCCCCTTTTTTTCTGGAATACTTACAAGCTTTTAATGTGGGGGGGGGGTTGCTCCTTTACTTGCATTAGGGCACAATTTCTTGAGGAAATTTGAAATTTTGCAAAGAACAACATTAGGCCCAACAGTTCTTTGGCTGAATCTGGCAGCAAAGAAACCTCACCCACCCAGTCGTTCCCTCTATTTCTCGTTATGCTTGTGATACCCACAATTCTATAAAGATTGGCCTCTGTTTCAAGCTGGAACACCTGCCCCGGAGTACCGTTTCATTGATAATTGTGTCATTTTCCATTTTTTCCTAATTCTTTTTTTTTTTCCCCTAAGTGAGAGAAAACAAGCTGCCGTCATTCCCCCCACCTCCCTGGGTCGTGGGAACAATGTGAAATCCTAATCTGTAGTATGCTACTTTGAGAATGGTTTTAATGGTGGTCAGAGTTAGCTATTTCTCCAAACAGGGTTTGCTTTTCTAGATTTCAGGTCACATAGGAAACTGAGTGTAGTCCCCTCCACCCTGCATGGTTTTGTTTTTATGGCAGCTGCAGCCAAAATTGTAGTCAGAAGGGATGATGGGTGAGAGGTGGCTTTTGTGTTCAGCATAAGGAGGGCATGGAAGAGGAAAAGGGTTACTGGAGTGGCGAGGGGAACCGGAGGGAATAGCCTTCCCTATGATTTCTGCAGTGGGTACAGGGTTTGTGAGCCTTGTTTTCTTCCTTTCTGCCCTCTACGTAAAGAGATTTTGAGGGCCTTGTGTATGTTGCAGGAGGGCTAAAGGTACGTGATGGAGGGGAGAGAAACTGAACCAAAGAGAACTCTCTTTTTGTAAAAAATAAATAAATAAATTCCAAATTAAAATATCTGTTAATCACTGTTTGGCCAATGGCTTCATGGTTCAAACATGCCTTATTTTTTTACACTTTTTCTTGCATTTTGCTGTTCATTTCTCGGGTTTCGGCCTTGCTCTTTCTTCCCCTCGAGGTCTCGGAGCAGGAGCGGTGGCTGGTTAAGGCTCTTCCATCTTGATAACGCCCAGTCCCGAATGTATTTGGCATCCAGAACGACAGCCGCTGGGTCGGTCTCCTGTCTTTTCTCATTATGCTGAATGAAAGATGGTAGGGGGTGAAGCATCCCTAAATAAGGGGCATGGGAGAAATAAGGAGATCCTTTGCACAGTTATATTGATGCCTGATTAAGATGACAGTGGGCAATGTTAACGGCTGCCTCTTCTCATCAGAGGGGTGGGGACTCGTAGCAACATGGGCTGGTTAATAAAACAGTTGTTCCTTTCTAGGGAATGCTTGGAATTATATTTTTGCAGGGTGAGGAGTGATTTGAGTCTGCTGGACTGTCCAGAGTTCTCCGCAATTCCCAAATAATGGTCCCGTATTATTAATGCTAGCACTTCGTAGCTAACTAACTCCTTTTCCACATTTCCAAAAATCCACTGCCTCCGTGGGCAGAGGAATACCCCCGCTTGCCAGCCCTTCATCCCTCTTCCGTACAAAACAAATTAAGAGAACTTCAGGGGAAAAGCATCAGATCTAATTATCCCATTATTTCACAGAAGAGGGGCAGTAGTTGCCTCTGTCAGCTATACAGTAGACCCTTGACTTACAGACGGCTTGACTTACAGACTTTTTGAGTTCCTTCAGGGAAAAAGCATCAGATCTAATTATCCCATTATTTCACGGAAGAGGGGCAGTAGTTACCTCTGTCAGCTATAGTCTTAATGCTTATTTATTTTATTTCATTTATTTATTCAACTTATATGCCACCCACTGTACTGTGTACCTGTGGCTGGAAACACCACACGGCCAGTAGTCGAGAGAGGAGATAACGGCCTGTTACGGGATTAATCAGTTTTCAATGCACTGTAGGTCAATGGAGACTTGACTTATAGACTTTTTGACTTGAGAACCGCCTTCCAATACGGATTAAGTTCTCAAGTCAAGACCCCACTGTAGTCTTAATGCTTATTTATTTTATTTATTTATTCAACTTATATGCCACCCACTCTACTGTGTACCTGTGGCTGGAAACACCACACGGCCAGTAGTCGAGAGAGGAGAGAATCAGCAGAGCTGGGATAAGTGGGCAGAAGTACAAAAATCTTCAGAGGCAAAGAAACAAAAGAGAAAATTCTCCAGGGGGGGAAAAAGGCTTAGTGAAAAGTTGTTGCATCTGGGAGGTTGGCTGGATAAATGTGGAGTGGGTAGGTGAGTGTACCTGTGGCTGGAAACACCACACGGCCAGTAGTCGAGAGAGGAGAGAATCAGCAGAGCTGGGATAAGTGGGCAGAAGTACAAAAATCTTCAGAGGCAAAGAAACAAAAGAGAAAATTCTCCAGGGGGGGAAAAAGGCTTAGTGAAAAGTTGTTGCATCTGGGAGGTTGGCTGGATAAATGTGGAGTGGGTAGGTGAGTGAGAAAACGGGGAAGAAAAGACGGGAAGGTGTGTCCGGAGGGACCAAGATGTAGTTATGAAAAAGGTGGAGAAACCTCATTATCTGGATAGCTCACTTTCTGATTTGCACTAAGCTATTTTTACGTATATATTCCCTGGGACAGAAATGAGACTTATTCAAAGTTATGATATCACTAAGATCACAAACGTGTGCTCATCTTAGGTGTCCCACTGGTTCCGTCATGTTAGAACGGGAGTAATTAACACAGAGAGAAACAGTGTTTATCAAATCCAAACCACCCTGAGCATAACTCGTGCGTACACACATTCATTTTTACCTGTGAGTGGACGGATAGCTCACTTTCTGAATTGCACTAAGCTATTTTTATATGTTCCCTGGGACAGAAATGAGACTTATTCAAAGTTATGATATCACTAAGATCACAAACGTGTGCTCATCTTAGGTGTCCCACTGGTTCCGTCATGTTAGAACGGGAGTAATTAACACAGAGAGAAACAGTGTTTATCAAATCCAAACCACCCTGAGCATAACTCGTGCGTACACACATTCATTTTTACCTGTGAGTGGAGACACAAGGAGGAATAGATATTTTATTGCTTTAGGAGGCCAGTGACACCCACTGGGCGTAAAATTTTTTCCATCTGTTTTTTTTTCCCTTTTCTTTACACTTCATAAATTAATAACAGTATTTACAAAAGAAAAAGAAAAATAAAGGGTTGGGAGTTAAACAGTTTCTTCATATCAACCACACAAATACAGCTTTGTTTTTTTTCTTCAAAACACGGAGACACAAGGACAGTGATAGGGTGAAAACTTTCATCAGTGTTCATCTGGAAGAGGGGACTTTTTTTAAAATTTTTATTTTTTACAGAAAGAGGGTCACACCAGAGCATGACAAGACAATATTGCACTTTGAAAAGTTGGGGGTGGGGTGGGGGTGAAGGGGTTAAATACATCTCCTCTCCCCCCTCCCCTCCCTGCAGCTTCTTGCACTTAGGGTGGCAGGGGTGGGGTTTGGTGTTTTTTCTTGCAGTCGGGCGGGCAAGGGTAGGGGGGGCTAGAAACCAGAATGATGGTTTTCGGGAGGGCATTGAAACAAACCTTAGTCTGTTTAAGGTGCTGTAGTATATCTTATTGATCCATTTTGCTTTTGTTATCAAAGCTGCTGCAGTGAACACTTTGCTCAAAGCCATTTCACAGATCAGGGTCGTGGGAGACTCCTCGCTGGCAAGCAGGTGCACACACGCCAACCTGAGAATGTGAGCTGTTCTAAGATCCCAGCCTAGTATGGCAATGCAAAACATGCTCGGTGCATTCCCACACTTGCAACAACTCTGCTGTAGGTCTTTAAATGCAGCATGTAAAAAGCACCTCCTAAGGGGAGTACCATATTTTTCTGTGTATAAGACTATACTTTTGTCTAAAATCTTTAGACTAAAAATTGAGGGTCATCTTGTACATGGAAGTAAGCTGAGGAGAGAACAAAAACAAACAGGGATAAAAGCGATCCTACAGTGCTTTGATCCCTTTCCCCCTACACTTGCTAAGCCCCACTAATTTTTCTTAATTTTGGATTAGAAAAGTGGGGGGGGGGCGTCTTATACACAGAAAAATGTAGTATGTTTAACTTCCCTGTGCCTCTATATTTAAAAGGCTGATCTATGCAACCACTAAGTCCATTGTGGCGAGATTCTCCAGGCCAGCCACCCAAGTGCTTTCTGCCAGCCGCAATGGCACACGGGTTTCCACACCTCAATGAGGACCGGACCCTTGCTTTCACAATGTGAAAGGAAAGGAAGGTCGAGGATGAGGGTATGTTGAAGGGGATTAGCTTAGCTTGTGAGATTTCTCAAGAGGTGCTGTGGAGCAGGGCAGGAACTTCTGTGCGCTGGGTGTGGAAGAGAACCTAAGAATAACTCTTTGGGCTGGTGGCAGGCTCCTTGTATCTGGCAGAGGGTGCGGAAACGGCTCTTTCCGGTCTTGCAGGTGGGCCGCCTTGCCACACACCTGGGGGACAGGTGATTTTCTAGATGCTCATCAACCACAGCTCCCATCATTCCTCACCACTGACTGTGCTGGTTGGGGCTTGTGGAAGCCGTAGTGCAAAAACATGGCAAGGCCGACCCATACCTCGCCTCTGCCTGCCCCCTTTTCCACCGCCCTTTGGTGTGCAAGAGGATTTCGCACCAAACTTAAGTCAGATCGTTCTTTGGAAACCAATGGGGTGCGGGCTGCCGAGGAAGGGCCCCCCCAGTTGACTTTTTTTGAGGCGGGATGGTCTTCCAGCCCCACCTGAAGGAGTGGGGAGCCAAGGGGGAGGAGATGGTTTGAAGGGTTAGACTTGTTATATTCCATGAATAAAATTTTCCTATAAAAATAGAGACATCGAACAAACAGAGCAGGGGGGTTTTCGTTTCCTTTCCTTTCCTTTCCACTCTTTTAAGAATCTGGCCTGCTGATGGAGAAGAGCCAGCCGTTGGCCCCCAGCAGCCTGGGTTCAGCTGCCTGGGAGACTCTTCCCTTCCTTGACGGCATTCAGACCGACCTTGGTTGCCTCGTCTGAAGGGTTCGGAGTGGCTCCTGCGGTCCGCCCGGTCTCCAGCCGCTTGTAACCCTGCACCTGGCTCTCTAGCACCTCCAAGCTGTCGGGGCTAAAATCACAGCCTTCATTCTCCGAACTACATTCACTCAGATCTGTGATCTCCAGCTCAGAATCTGAGCCGGCGTCCTCTTTGGCCCCTCGGACCCCGGACGGGCTCTGGGGCCTGGCACCCAGTAACTCCTTATCGCGATGGCCGGTCCCATTCCCATCCCCCCGCAGGGGTAGGGCTGTGCCATGCGGGGGCAGGCAGAGACGGGGGACAGAGCCCACCCCGAGGGCTGCGCCTCGCTCGGTGCTTTCTGTGGGCAGGAGCGAGATGGGGGTCGGGAGCTGGGCCAGTGACCCCGATAAGGGGTTGGGATAGAAATGAGGAGAGTAGAGAGAAGCAGGGAGCTTGGAACTGTTTAAAGGGAAAGCGCTGGATAGATAAGGGTTGAAATTCCAGGGGTAATCTGGGAAGGATGCATTCCTCCCATATGGAGTCAGCAAACTGGGGGGCTTCGTATATCCGGCAACACCTGCAAGGGGAAAGAAAGACATGTGAGGCACCCAATCTATATTTACACAAATGCCAGGGGGCCACTCAACTCCATCATAACTCATGACATCTTTTTGGATTGCAGCATGATTTATCTGTTTGTTACATTTGCATGCCTTCTTCCTACCCATGAGGTCAAGGTAGCATGCACGGCTCACTCACCCTCATCCTTACCAACCCTTATTCTGCACCACAAGCCTGTGGGGTAAATCAGGATGTGGCCCAGAGTCGCCAAGTAAATTTTCATGGATTGAATGGAAATTCACCTCATTCTCCACCTCCCCAGTCTTCGTTCAGCACTCTTAACTATGAAACCACCCGGGATCTCTTGTTATGGAAAAATGGAAGGGGGGGGAGCGGCATTGTAGAGGTGTTTGAACTGCAACAGGAAGCACAACGGGCTGTTTTTAGGAGTGGAAAACCGATGAGTAAGACGTGTTCTTACCTGACCCCAGGAAAGGAAAGGCCGCATCCAGCCGTAGTTTTTCTGTCTCTGATTGACGGTCAAAGAGTGGGGTCCGGGTGGCGGGATCGGCCAAGCGAGGGCTAGTAAAGAGGCTTTGAAGGGCCTGGAGAAGATGGGGAAAAAAGTCAGCTCCAGATCTGACCTAAATGATGAGTCTCAAAGAGGTTCATGCCAAGAATATCTGGGAAAACTTGGCCCCTGGCTTAGTGGCCACCACTCCCTCCTGCAAATGTTAATGCATGTTGGAAAATTTCTTTCATCATGATACATGTGTCTTGCACATGTTTCATGGTGTCATTTTTTTTAAAAAAAATCCCCCAAAGTTATATTCCCTCTGTTTCAGGTTATACCTCGGGGGTCAGTGGGGCACAATCAGCTCCAGGGTTGCTCCCATTGAAAGGATTCTGGGCCAGCAGAAACGGGGAGTTGGCCGCCATGTCCAAGAGCGGGTAGTTCACCAAGACCACCTTACTGAAGTTAAACTTGTAGGTGAAACGTTTGCCTTTTGTCTTGTGCAGAATCCTCTTATTGTAATAGTACCTGGTAGGGAAAAGAAAAAAAAACAAGAGGAAGAGGTGTGGAGGGGTGTTAAACAGCCGGTTGAATGATTTCGAATCTCTGGAGCACCGAAGGGTGCGGTGAAAGCCAGAGTGGAATGTGCGAAACTGAAGTGGATGATCCTCGGGAATAAACAGAACAGGAAAGATCCGACCCTCACAACAAGAGTTTGGAAAAGCTGCTGCCTTTAAAAAGAAGGAAGGAAGGTAGGAAACTGCCTTGACCAACATTTCTTAGCCTCTTTGGCTATGCTGCGGTCAAGGATCTCAAGGCTCGCCCGCGACTGGTTTTAAGAGGATAAATTCATAGAAAGAGTTTAGAAGCCAAAAGGTGGGGAAACAGAACAAACCAGAACAGCCGGCCTTGCTTCCAAATTCCAGAGCTTCCAAGCACGACTCTTGGAATAGCTGGCTGGGGTGTCCTTGGGTTTGGTTTTTGTGCAATAGATTCTAACGGGTACAAGGTAAAGGTAAAGGTAAAGGTTCCCCTTGACACTTTTTGTCCAGTCGTGTTCGACTCTAGGGTGCGGTGCTCATCCCCGTTTCCAAGCCATAGAGCCAGCGTTTTGTCTGAAGATAATCTTCCGTGGTCACATGGCCAGTGCGACTTAGACACAGAACACTGTTACCTTCCCACCGAGGTGGTCCCTATTTATCTACTCGCATTTGCATGCTTTCGAACAGCTAGGTTGGCGGGAGCTGGGACAGGCAACGGGAGCTCACTCCGTGGCGTGGATTCGATCTTATGACTACTTGGTCTTCTGACCCTGCAGCACAGGCTTCTGCGGTTTAGCCCTCAGTGCCTCCACGTCCCCACGGGTACAAACTCACTATTAAATCGTTCACTTTCATCCTTGCCACACAAATGGTGTCTACTGGCACATCCTCATCACCCACTCCTTGTGGCATGTCGCCCCCTAGAGGTGTGCGTGGAGAATTCGGCTCAGCAATGATGCCAAACAGAGAGCGCCCCCTAGCGAATTAGCATCCTGTCACCAAATCTATTTAACTCCCTAGCAATGCATCTCTTTGCTTGCCTAAACAGATGCCCTGGAAACAGAGTTGGAAGTTCGCAGGCAGACTAGAGCAGAGCCGAATTCCCATGCTGAGTTAATAGGAAGCGTCAATAGTGCTTAGCTTCTCATAAATATTAATTAGGATGGCGGGATCTCAAGTGGCCAAGAAAGGTACAGTTAATTAATAAGCAATAACAAATATCGCTGTCGATCAATTACGCAAGAAAGGTTGCTGCGGGGAGGGTAATCACAGCGCTCCCGTGAGCTTCGTCAGAGCTTTGAAGAGGAAGGAGAGTGAATAAGGAGCACAGAGGCTTCGGCTGCCCCAAATGTTTAGAAGAGTTCTGAGAATCCAAGGGGGAAACAAAATTGTACGCCTTGTTGAACCAACGTTAGAAGTAACAATAATACTCATGAAGGTTGTCATCCAATTACAGAAATCTTATCGATTTATCTCATGGGTTTTAATTGGCTAATCAATCGAGTGATTGATTAAAAGTGCATATAAGTAAACTGATAATTCATTCAAGCAAATAGGATGCTGTCTTTGCGTTTTGAAAAACAACACAATTCTAGAAAAAGCACAAGACCTTCCTGTACTGGGAGCATTCCTCTTTTTATCGAATGCCGGTCACCATCTGGTGACTTTACAAGCCCTTATATATATTGAAGATTAAAACCGATAACTTCAGAGGGACAGATGTGCTGTCTGATTAATCAGGGCGTCTTTCAGTGTGTTTATAACAATTGATTAATCTAAATGATTAATTGATTACATGTCATAGATCTGAAGAGAAGCACGCTCGGCCTGGCCTCTGCCTTCCAGGGAACAACCTCGGGGCAAAAAAAGAAGCCAGCCTGGCTATGCTTTACTACCCAAAAAGGAAAACAAGACACCTAATAAGTGTAAAATGCAAAATATGTTGTACATGCTGCATGGCAGCTACAATCACACCTAACAATCGCCCTGGAAAATAGACCTGTATTTTTATTGTCACCTTACTGAGGAGGAAGAGGAGGAAGATGACTCCTTTGCTAGCTTAGATTTTGAAATTAATTGAGTTTGCAACACAGTTTGCCAGTTGAGTTTGCAACACAATTCACCAGGGCTCCTTAAAGGATGGTATCAACCCCACATGAGCCTTCTCAACTTTTAAGATCTTCTGGGGAGGTGCTTCTCTCTGTTCCATCAAGTTCTCAAGACTCGAGAAAGGGCCTTCTCGTTGGCTGCTCCCAAGCTTTCGAATGCACCGCCCCAAGAAGCCAGGTTGGGCCCCTCCCTCTTGTCCTTCCATCGTTTGCCGAAGACCTTCCTCTTCAGGCAGGTTTTTAAGTTATTAATTCATCTCAGGAATGCTATTTTTAAAAACTTACCAGTTCTTAAATACTTTTCAATTGTTTTTATTTATTTATTTTATTTATTTATTACTTTTATTTATATCCCGCCTATTTAATCAATTAAGATTACTCTAGGCGGTTTTTACACTTGATTTTTTAGAAAAATGTAATGTATGCTTAATTGCTTTTTAAAAATGTGATATTAACTTTCTTATTTTTCTCCTTACGGAGAGAAAGGCAGCAAATGAATGAATAAATGGAAGCAACAATACCCCTGCACCAAAGCTAACTCAACAAATCTCAGTTTTAAATCTGGGTTTGCTTTTTGGCCTCGTGGCAAAATGAGAAAAATATGTGGATTATAAAACTAGAATTCCATATGACAAGTGGCCAATTGTGGGCTCTTTGCCTCTTTTAGACTACAACGCCTTTATCATTAGTAACATAGGCTGGGGATTCTGGGAGTTGTAGTCCAAGCAGTCTGGAGCCCCACCCTTGTAACATAGCTTGGCTCCATATTGACAATCTATTACATGTTAGAATTCACACTTCCATCTTAATCATCTAAGAGGCCAATTAACCTAGCACAGGAATGCAAGAGTATTAAGAAGTAACAAATCCATGGTAAATAATCTTGTGTTTGCTGGTGTGTATTTTCTTACACTAGTCTCCAGATCATATTGAGAAAAACTCGAGTTACTTCCACAAGACCACTGAGAGCATCTAAGAATGAATGCAGTATCCACTAGTGGTTGATTCCAAACCCCTCCCTCGGATGCTGAAAAATGCAGAAGTATCAAACTCTATACACTGCATGGTCTCTGGCTCCCTATTGTGATCAGTTGTGGTAAATACACCCTGGGAATACATATATTTCTGGGGGTTTTAATTCAATATTTTCATACAGCAGATAAGTGAATCAGTGGATAGTGATTCCCACGAATAGAGGAGGCCTACAGTAACTGTAATATTCTTCCGTGGTCAATAGTTAAATGACACTACCCTGTGGTCAGATCACAGATTCATAGCACTAGAGAAGGAAGATATCAAGAAGAGAGCGATGACGAGGGGGCCCAACGTCTAAAGTTATGACCGCCACTGACTTTTTGCAAAATAAAAGTCTAAGTGGTGTAACTGAGGGACTAAACTGGTAGCCGGCTCAAGGTTGACTCAATGACCTTCTCTCCTTCTGAGGTCGGTAAAATGATGTCTGAAGTTATGACCTCCACTGACTTTTTGCTCAAGGTTGACTCAATGACCTTCTATCCTTCCCAGGTCGGTAAAATGAGTACCCAGCTCGCGGGGGGGGGGCAATGCGTAGCCTGCACTTGTAAACCACTTGAAGTTCTATGGGGCGGTATATAAGCAGCACACACACTTTATACTTAATTTCTCCTGTTTGAAGAATAGCCAGAGCAGTAAAAAAAGTGCAAGGGGTGTTGTGTTGTGCCTATCTACAGTACTTGTATTTAAATAATTCAAAAGCAGTTTGGAGTAGACATGGTCTAGAGGGGCAGGGTAAAAATCCAATTAATAAATAAATAAAAATAAAATTTAGGTGGATTTAATGAATATAAAGCCCTGAACTGTGGCATTCTAGCAGAACCGGCTGCAAAACTGGAGTGAAGGGAGCAGTATACCCATATAGCTCAGAAATGTGGGACTCCCTCCGTACAGGAGGCATTGTCCCACAATTTAATTGCTGAAATGAGGAGGGTCCTTAGCCTGGAGAATGTGGGAACTTCTTAAGACTATAACTCTTAAGGCGTGCCTGGAGGATTCTGCCACTTCCAGTCTGCTCTGTACGTTATAGTCACTCTATTCAATGATTTTCCCCCCACCAGTGCCTCACCTCAAGGCCCTGCTCAGTTTGTCGTAATTCATGTGGGGCTTGCATTTACGAATGCCCCACAGCCGGGCCACCTCGTCCGGATCCTTGATGACAAACTCCCCGTAGTCCCCCTGCCAGGCGATGACGTTTTGGTATTCTTCCTTCTGCAGCAGCTCCAGGATAAAATGCCACAGCTGGATCTGACGTGAGCCGGGGCTGGACTCCGGCTTGTAAGCCCAGTCTGGGAAGGCGAACCCTAGTGAAAACCAAACAGAGGAGAAAAATTAAAGGTGGTCACCCATCTGGAAATCAGGACCTTGGACAGATCAACACAGTTGTAACATCCACACTAAGATTCTCCATACGGCAGCCTCCTCAATCTGGTGCTTTCTAGATATATTTGGCTGCTAGGTCACAATCTTAGCTACTTTGTGACTGAAGCAGGGAGGTGTCTCCTTCCCTCTCCCCCCCCCAAAAAAAACCTGGGGTGAAGAACCCCTGCTTAGTCTAAACTCTGATCTGGGAAAATGCTGGGCATCCTATAGGGGGCACTCCTACAGCCATATGGGCTTATAATGCCCGGTGGGGTTCTGGGAGATGTAGTCCAATAAATTATTTCCCCGTGGTCTGGATGGCACATTTTTTTGCAGCCATGCAACCTTCCCTACAAGGCAACAAATAAAGACCAAACAAAACACTTGATGTTTTTGAAGAAAACATTTTATTCACATGCATTTTTTAGTTTACACAATTTCTAAGTAGAATTTGCATTTTTAAAAAAGACAGAGGAAGGGGGCATGTGGTTCTCATACACAATCTGAAAACAGTGACACCTCTATTAGACCACTAAAATTTAACAAGATTCAAGAGTGACCTTCTAATCTATATCACCCAAAGTTAAATCTGCAACCTACCCTCTCTGACTTTGCAGGCTCCGTTCCTTCCAGTTAAGAAAACTGGCCGGTAAATCTGTCCACAAATTTTTGGAACGGCTGTATTTCTTCTGCACCACCCTCCACTCTGCAATGCCCAGCCTGATCAGTGGTCCAATAAAGCATCACCCACTCTTTTCAAAGATAAAAATGAGCTAGGATTTAGAAGTAAGAGTTAGGATTCTGAGTTACTTCGGAGCAATTTGGGGACATATAGAATCTGGGGTGAAATGCAAAGCTGGGGAAATGATTCTCATTTCTCTTTGTGTTGTGTGAGGAATGGAAAAAGAAGAAGAAATTAGCCCCACCCCAAGCACCTCTAGCATTTCTTGCATTTTTCCTAGTATAGCCACGTCCTTGTCTTAGAAGTTGCCAGCCTAGACACAAGTATCTGGAATTTAAATCCCATTAAAATTGGAGGTAGTTATTTCCAAGTAAGGCTGTCAGTTTAAAGCAATCTTAATTTAGGGAGAAAGAGGGGCAAAGTGGTGGAAGATGATCCGCCACTTCCACAATCCTGTAAGATATTCTCTCTGGTCTGGGTCTTTAAAAAAAACAAAACACTCTTCCCCATCCATTTAAATGGGGAAGAAAATTTACTGCATCAACACCAAGATAGGCAAGTTGTGACTCCATCTCTCTGGAGACTTCCAAGAGGACAGAGCAGACTAGGACACACCCCCATCCATTTAAATGGGGAAGAAAATTTACTGCATCAACACCAAGATAGGCAAATTCAGGGGGCCCATCTCTGGAGACTTCCAAGAGGACAGAGCAGACTCAAGGACACCTGCACAATGTCCTGGTCCAGAGTCAGGAACTTGTGGAATGGATGTAGCCCCCCAAGGAGATCTTGTCTCAGCTAGTGGAAGACAGGCTACTTTTCCACTGAACCCTCTCCAGCCTCTGAATCTCAGGAGGATTGCTCTGTTCACCTTTGTCACTGATTATCCTTGTATGCTGTGCAAGAAGGGCTAGAAAAACGTGTTAGTCTTAAAAGAAAAGGAAATTTCTCTGGCTTTTACAGAGCCCTAGTTCATGTTGTGGGTACATTTCAATACTTCCAGTGCAACATTCAGTCATGCCAATTTTTGAGTGCTTTTGCACACTTACTAGGGAGGAAGCCCATCAAACACAGTGGAATTTACTTCTAAGACATATGGGACCAGGCTGCAATAATAAGTTACGTTCAGAGCGTGTTATTACACCATTAAGTAGGAAGCAGCTTTGAGATCAGATCCTCCTCCTGAGAATATACTTTAAGTAGATATTTTCAGCTTTCATGTGAAATTATTTGCAGTATGATTAATTAATTACCGTATGGATTCATTCCAAGGAATAGCTGTGTCAGTCTTACAGGATTGTTAAGTAGGAGGAAAAGAGAGAATAACCACAGAGTGTATAGTAATGCAGGAGGTGCCAGTTTGAAAGAAGCATAAGACACCCCCACACACACAAAAAGGAGAGAGTCACTATTGTATTTAAATTCTTGTATACAGAATGACTGAGTTGTCTTTTAAACTGCACTGGTAGCTTTCTAATTGGTCTTCATCACTTTATCACTTATGCATCTTTATCAAAAGGGCTTTTATCTTTGCAAACTTTTGGTGCTTCTTCAAGTCAAATATATTTTGGAATGCCTTTTTTGAGGGTTGCTTCTCCTCCATTTTCCTGTTTATGCCTTCTCCTCTGGTGGATGTGCAGTATTTCATTAGGCTGTTGATTGCTCATGCCAAAGCGTGAGTGAACATGCATGGATGGAGCAGCATGGACACATGCATACACAAAGGTTTGCATACATAGCCAGGCTTCCGCTGCTGACTTTGCTCACAGACTTACTTAGACCATTTTGGCCAAGTCTTTGCAGATCTCCCCTCCTTCCTTCCCTCTACAAAGTTAGGATGTTTCACTTCTTGTGTAGTTATTTCCACTCTCGGATCTGCAGTGAGCTCTAACCACCGTCTAAGGCTGTGTTTCAAAGCAACTCTCTCCGAGGAATCCAGAAAGCCAACTTGTTCACCTCCACCCCGACTAATTAATCATGGCTAAAAGCTGAGCCTCTCTCAGAAGCTCAAGGGGGTGGACCTTCAAGTAGAAGGTGCAGAGAGAGACCCTGTAGCCTCTTCAGCCAGGAAGAGGTCAAGCCGGCTGGCTCAGAACTGTGCCTCTATCTATGAATCTATCATTAACAAGCCTAATGAACTACTGACCGATGCCTTGATTTTCAGTTACACAGTATACCTTCAATGCCCCTCCAAGTAAATTGCATTCACTCTCCTGAAGGCCCCTTCAGACATGAATGCCATGGCTCTCAAAGCACAAGATGGGTCTCCCTCAAGAGGAATAAATCAAGTTGTCCGCTCTGGTGGATGTGCAAGTATTTCATTAGGCTGTTTGTTCATTTATTTTTTTATTTTTTTATTGTATTTATTGCCTTTTTTGAGGGTTGCTTCTCCTCCATTTTCCTGTTTATGCCTTCTCCTCTGGTGGATGTGCAGTATTTCATTAGGCTGTTGATTGCTCATGCCAAAGCGTGAGTGAACATGCATGGATGGAGCAGCATGGACACATGCATACACAAAGGTTTGCATACATAGCCAGGCTTCCGCTGCTGACTTTGCTCACAGACTTACTTAGACCATTTTGGCCAAGTCTTTGCAGATCTCCCCTCCTTCCTTCCCTCTACAAAGTTAGGATGTTTCACTTCTTGTGTAGTTATTTCCACTCTCGGATCTGCAGTGAGCTCTAACCACCGTCTAAGGCTGTGTTTCAAAGCATTGGGCACCGAGGAATCCAGAAAGCCAACTTGTTCACCTCCACCCCGACTAATTAATCATGGCTAAAAGCTGAGCCTCTCTCAGAAGCTCAAGGGGGTGGACCTTCAAGTAGAAGGTGCAGAGAGAGACCCTGTAGCCTCTTCAGCCAGGAAGAGGTCAAGCCGGCTGGCTCAGAACTGTGCCTCTATCTATGAATCTATCATTAACAAGCCTAATGAACTACTGACCGATGCCTTGATTTTCAGTTACACAGTATACTTTCAATGCCCCTCCAAGTAAATTGCATTCACTCTCCTGAAGGCCCCTTCAGACATGAATGCCATGGCTCTCAAAGCACAAGATGGGTCTCCCTCAAGAGGAATAAATCAAGTTGTCCCCAACGCTTCTTCTGATTCATCCTAGTCTCTGCAAAAAGACTTCTTCCTTTTTATTTACGGAAAATTTGAGGTGGGGGGGGGATCATGTATCAGTGAGTCTTTCAGAAATGTATAAAACAGGTGCGCAATTTTGCAATATTTTGGACTACAATTCCCAGAATACCTGTGGTAGTTACCTAAGGGATTCTGGGAGGTATTGTCTACAAACACAACTCTGTGTGCATAATACAACGTTTGTGGGCTTTCTACCTCAGGGATATTAATTTAATTCTTACAATCTTTTTTTCCTCTCTCCCTCCTGACACTTTTTATCTTCTGAAAATTCCACCCTGCAAGTCCCCGTAAGACAATTGCTGCTATATCTAGTCCGATTCTTTAAATTTGTTTATTTATCTTCTTTTCCCAGTGTCCTAAATTTTGTGCTAGCTAGATGGATGGAGAGTTCTGAAGAACTGCCACTTTTGTGCTCCTATTACAGTATGACATGAACCTATACTGCATTTTTGTTGATAAAACATAACAGGCCATGGTGACAGAATCAAAAAATGGTAGATTTCAAAGGAACCTCAAGCGTCATCAAGGAAAACCTCTTGCCAAAGCAGGACAGTCACAGCTGAAAGAACCCTGATAAAGCGGCCATCTAATCTCTATTTAAAACCCTCCCAAAGCTGGCTGAATAGCTCAACAACATACATCAGAGCCAGAAGTTGGGAGTCTGATTCCCACTATGCCTCCTGGGAATATAGCCAGCCTGTGTAGCCTTGGGCAAGCTGTACAGTCCTTGGATGACCTCAAAAGAAGGGAAGGATAAATTACTTTTGAGTATTCTCTACCTGGAAACTCCCGAAAAGTGTCACCATAACTCAGAATTAACTTGATGCCACATGATAATTTCATTAAAGAATGATAGTTTAATACCTTCCAGCCCAGTCCATTCCAATGCCAAATAATGTTTACTTCCAAGGTCTTCCTCATGTTTAGGCAAAACCTCCTTTCTCATAATGGTGTCAATCACAACAGCTTCTATTTGTGTGTGTGTTTAAAGTACCGTATTTTTCGCACCATAAGACACACTTTTTACCCACAAAACAGGGGGTGGAAAGTCTGTGCGTCTCGTGCGTCTTATGGAGGGAATAAAACAGATTATATTTTCCAGTTTTCTTCTCCTAA